AAATGTCGTATTTTAAATTTCGAACGTACAAGTGGCAGTGGCAGAGCCACTTGGCATATTTATTCCTTATACTGTAAGGATAGCAACTATTTATTTTGGTGCATGCCCCGACCTCCTGGGGCGGTGTCACGCCCATTTTTTTTGTTAATATTTAGTCTGTAAGTTTGGCAAAACAAACCCAACACCTAGCCTTCTTTGCCTCTGGTCATATTACAGTCATTGCAGCCATTTCATATTTCATTCTCTTCATTTTAACAAGTACTATATCAATCAAAGCAGGAATGTTGACGTATTTTGCAGCGTTAGCGATGCTCCCGTTTCATCTTAGTAATTACCTTGTTCCCCTGGGTCAAAATATACTGTGCCCCATGGAAAACGCATCACTTTTTTTTCCCAAATATTTTATTACTAGGTGGTACAATATTATGCAATACTATGAACTATTGTTTCACACAATGCTCCCAAACGCAAAAAATATCGGCCCGTGTGCACAAAAAAAAATTGCACGAGATGCACATGAAAAGCCCAATATTCACGTGCAGCATTGTGTGTGAGCCCTTTAAAAGCATGTTTTCAACTTAATGTGCAGTACATGAACTGTGAAACGTCAATCTGTCATAATTTGTTGTTGGACGTGTGAAGGAATCGGGCTAGAGATGCCGAGACTTACTGAAAATCAACGGAATGAAGCCATGTGAATGTCCCGGGCTGGCATGTCTACACATGCTATTGCCAGACACTAATTGTCATCATTCCACTATTGTAAGGTTGGTGGAACGTGTTCGAGTTACTGGATCAACACGTGACCGTCAACGTCCTTGCCCACAACGCGTTACAACCCAGGCTCAAGACCGCTACATCCGGGTCACTCATCTGCGTGAGATTCCGCCCAGCGACTCGAACAGGTGCAGCAGTAGTCGGAAGACAAGGACCAGTAAGTGCCAACACCGTAAGACGTCGTCTAAGAGAAGTAGGACTCCGTGCACAACGACCTTATGTTGGAGCTATCCTCAGGGATCATCACCGTCAGCGGCGTTTGATATGGGCTCAAGGACACCAGACATGGAATGGAGAAGAGTAAAATGGCAAAGTGTGGTCTTCAGTGATGAGAGTCGCTTTCATCTTTATCACGCTGATGGCCGTCAACGTGTGTGGGGACGTCTTGGGGAACGTCTTGCATACTGCTGCGTCTTCGAAACGAATCGATGAGGTGGGGGAAGTGTAATGGTGTGGGGAGGCTTCACATTTCATCACAGGACCGCCCTACACATTTGCAGGGGTCGCGTTAATGCTGTAGCCTACCGTGATGATGGCCCGTGGAGGACACACGCGCTACTGACATCTGTGTCGTACTTTTGGTTTTGACCCCTCTGACTTTGTACCCTTAATTACAAATTAAACATCCATAAGTGTACAAATGTGTTGTTATTGATGTGTTCCCATTTGAATATTGTTCACAATAAGAGGCAAAATAAATAAGATATGTTTACAGGATCATTTTGTTATACGAAAAACTAAGTGATGCGTTTTCCATGGCGCTCAGTATATGTGGAAATCCCATTGGAGATTTGGGGATTAAGAGTAGTCAAGTCTGCCTCAGATCTAATACGATGGCATTCATCAAGCATCAACTAAATTAGGGGGTAGAATTGAAAGTAGGTTGACAATCCCAAGAACGAGAAGACGATCAAGATACACTTTAAGCCAGGTCAAGGAAGTTACTGGTGAGAGATTAAATGTCAATAGAATTCGTGGTGAGTGTTAGCGTATTAACACCAGCAAAAACGTTCCCGTCGCCCGTGTTGCAATTTTCATAAATTCATTTAGATAAACAAATAAAACTAAGACAAATTAGTTAATTGTGAATATAATGGAAATATTAATCCATGGAAATCATGGTCTAATTGAGCTTGTATGGGCCCTTACATCATCAATGAAAAACGGACATATTTTGTACGTACATTGAGTGCGATTAGTTTGTAGTATCTCTAGATTTGTTCGAACAAGGGAAGGGCAGCAGAAAAAGGGGGCACGATGTTCTCATTAGGGTGGGCATTTCCTTGAGTTACCTGTCGAAATTCGAGGGCACATTTTCGGGAGAGAGGGCACATAACCACCCCCGCTCCCTCCCATATACCCTGGTAGGAAATCTCATCGGATTCGAGCGTTATCAACCATTTCCAATTCTTTTGTTTTTTTGCATTTATGAGGGCGGGGTTATAGGCGATTGATTACCTGCCCAGCACGCCTCTGCAATGCGATTTTTTGCTTAGGTTACACAGAGTGATGAACAATTTCAATGCTAGAAGTTTTATAAATATGTTAGATGTGCAAGTAATTAATGGGTGTCATCTATTTAGGGACACAAGCCTCGCTGTTGATTTGTTAACCAGTCGTCATTTGTCCTACAGACCACGTAAAAGACAACGGTTCGCAAAAATGAATTTTGGCACCGCGGACCGTCTAGGCCTTGATACAGGTTCCTCTACTTCAATAGCCTTACAACATTGAGCAATATAATAACGGTGGGCTGTTCATTATCAAATAGGCGATACTGTATGCATCTGTGTCTCAACATTTGAATCATTTTGTGAAATAAATTCGCCACGTGCTTCAAAAAGTACGACCAGTTTCCGCAGTGAGCTGGGAGTGACCCCAGTCAACATACCACTACGCCGCTACCGCAGTGAGCTGGGAGACACTCCAAATGAAATTTAGTTGATACTGGATGAATGTCATTGTATTAGGTCCAAGGTCGGGGTACCATTAATCGCCAATCCCCAATCGGATTTTTAAATGCCTAATTGGAATTATTTCTCCTATATTGACACAGGGAATCACTTAATCACTAAAATATGTACAAAAATGGATTCAGCTACCTCGAATACGTATATTTTGACACCAAACTTGATCCTTATGTAAAATTCGAATTTTCCCGCCAAAACTGACCGCCATCGTGAATAACCCCCAATATTGACTCACCGGTAGCACTTATCACAAAAATATGTATGGAAATGGATTTAATTATCCCGAAAACGTATATTTTGATACCAAACTCGATCATTTTCTGATAATAGGGTGGAAATCGGAATTTACATGCCAAAACCGGCGGCCATGTTGGATTTTGGCCAATTTGACACATTTGGGCACGGATTTCATACTGTGACTTTTTTGTTTTGGTGGTAATATACGTCTAGACCGACCATAAACCGTGGTTTCATTTCTATTTCAGCAGCTGACAGCACTTTAGCTACAACAACGTAGCTAAAAACGTTGAGATATACTGATGTGCTTGTTTTTAGCTACGATTGGGTGCCTTTAGTTCCAAGTGGCAAACTCAATTTCTTTATTGCATGTAACATCTTAAAAAGAAGATAATTTTAAACTTTTATGACTAATTAAACTTACAGAGGCCAATGTAGTGACACAACTATCGCCTAACTCCAAATACTCGCGTTTAAATTAATGAAGCATTGTTTTTATCCGACATACATCTCCCGTTTAAAAACGGCTTTCCTAGTAAGGCTTAACGCCTCGATTTTAAATACGATGATTTATACCCGTTTCAGGTAGGATTATATGCTTAATTGTAGTTGGATGTGGCAGAAATATCATAAATAACAATAATCAATCGTTGTTTTGATGAACAATGTTGTTAATTTTGCTTACTGAGACCCGATGTGATTTGCGTTGGGCTTTGCTACGTGGAACTATATAGCACCATCTCTTATCTCGAAACACGGAGGGTTGAGAGATGGGGTTTGTTATCTAACCGCACTTATGCGATCTTGCATGGACTAATTTGTGTCAAATTTGATTTGAGCCAGAAATTCTTAATGAGCTGATGTTTTAAAGAGGCACGGGCGCCGGAATCCAGGTACCAGGGTATACAGATGGTACCCTGCCCTTTTCGGGTATACATGTATACCCATGCCCTAATGATGAAAGTTTTCAACCTTTTTTCTAGTCTATTCATTTTTAAATGATGGATATGTAATTGCTCTGGTCGGTCGCGAACCGGCTCTTGCACTCTCATTATCAGCTTTCAGTGCATGCCTTGGCCAGATGTCTATAAGTGGTTAATCGAGTTCATGAGATGATAAAGGCAAGTGATTTAGTACGATAGTAGTTTCTGTTTATAGCTATTAGCCTTTTCAATTACACAATTTTTTTATGAGATGGATTGCTCGTGATATGACAATATGACAATTGTGAATCATTAGGCTTTTGTCATGTATTTTAAATGGCTTTATGTTGGAATTTGGGATGCTAGAGGCGCTCTAAACAGCATTCTCGGAATTGACAAATTTCAAAATTTTCTAGAGGCCGGGGGGAGAGACCCCCCCCCCCCCCAAATCTTTTGGTACCCTGGCCCTCGCGCCGTTACGGCGCCCCTGTAAAGAGGCAATTACACTCTTGACGATCTTCCGAGTCGAGCATATCTTGTAGTGGTATGGTTTTCAAAGAACGCAACAAATTACGTCACCCTTAATAGGCCAGTGCATGTATGTTAGACAATCAGCTAGGTGCATCATGGTCATTGTGAATATGGTGTATTTTATTTAAAGTAAACATTTTATTTTCTCAGGGAAAGGGATAACAACGTGTAATCGTGATATTCTGACCATTTCACTGTTTTTATCTTATGTTTTTAAAATATGCCTATAAATTATCTGATAAATATTAAGCAACACCATCCCTATATAAATTGTATAGGTTATAAAACATGATAAACCTGTGAGAATACATGATAAAATCTATACACAGCGTCTATATTGGTTTTTATGCTGTCGGGAGTAATCACGTGACATCACGCATAAGTGTAATAAACATGTTATCACATTCATCATGAACGACTATACCCTTTTCAAACCCTGGGGCTAAATCCATGATAATAACATCTATCAGGTAGAGATCTTCCTCGTATACCCAGTCGCAATTGAATATATGGCAAGTAATAGTCCCGAATAAATAGACAGAAATGATGAAGAAAATTCAAAGGGATTATCAGACATGGTTGCACAAGACTACGGTATATTTGATGAGTTATCACGTATTGCACACAGAGCGATAAACCGAAGATGGAAAAGGTTCTCAACCGTGTGATAACCTTCGTAATAATTAATAAATTCGTCGTTTTGACTGTGCGCGAGCTGTGGAGATAGGGACGTAGGTTAACATCATTGTGTCTTGTTTGTTGGATATATTAACCATGAGATAACTACTACATAAGGTGAGATATGTAAACATATTGCTATAGTACTAACGTACAGTGTGTCAGACGTTTACACAAGGATAATACTAAACGTCATAGTCCACAATGAATCTCAGTGGTTGATAGTATCTAAACAGGTAATGCACCAAGATATACAGGAAAACATAGGTAAATTATATAATACATACAGAATTAAGTGCACCGTGAGCTTTGTCTATAAATATCTAGATCTTAGAAGTAAATTTAATATTCATAGATTTATTGCCACTGTTGGGCATTGTCACCCTACAAAACGTACACAATAATAAAGTCAATGCATTGAAAATCCTGACTCCTTTTCTTCTATAGAATATTTATATTTTTGCATCAAAATCTATATTACCCAACGATCAATACGACGCTTTTGTTAGTGAACAAAATGCGTTTAAAACTTTGAATAATGATTGATTTTTGAGCGAGAATCGGGATCTTTCTTGTCTTCTCTAACCTCCAATAACAATATGTATATAACCACTTCAAATAAATCAACAGTTGTCACGCTTTATCAAAATGTATCAATGTCAGTATCGGAAGCTACTGTTTATTTGTTAAGTAAGCTAATATACGAGACTATAAAAAAAACATAATATAACATAGGCAGATTTACGAGAAAAAACTTAACATGCAAATTTGGGGTTAAATAAAATTATACATTTCGTCACTCTTGTTCATCCGGAAGCCGCGGTGGCTCAGTGAGGTTACTGGGGCCTTATTAACAACAACTTTAGCTGATTTTTTAAAAAAGAATTCTGCTCTTTCATTGACCAAGAGCTAAAATTTTAACTCTCAACCAATAAAATTCCCGCATCCTTAAATCATTTTAGTTTAAGTTTTTATGAATTAGGCATAGATCGTGGCGTGGTTTTCCCTTTTCAGTGATGCAGGAAAGGCCTGGAAAGAAACAGCGTCTAATCAAATTGTCGTGCACTTAAAAGAACCCTTGATATTTGAAATTCGTAAAACGGGTAGACTGAAGCGCTGCTGTCCGGACAAATTTTTTTCTCTCATAGCACACTGCATGGGGTATGTCCGTCTTCATTATCCTGGTTGGTGCGGAAAAATATACTTTGGATATGCGATTCCATTTAGTTATTAAAACTGGGTTCGTTAATTATTCCCTGACAAACCCTACACTTATATTTGTTATCCAATTCTTATTTTCATATGCACCCCAGGATTGGTTTTAATTCGAGTTAAGTCAATTATTTCTGGACTGAACGAGTCTTTGCAGTTTCTTTTGATTTTATTTCAGAATAAACCAAAAACAAACGACAGCAATGGACAGAAGCGAAGGAAATTCTCGGGAATATTCAGTACCTGATGATTTTATTATGATGAAGATCAAGGACATAAAAGAAGAAGATGGGTACCCACACTCTGGATTGGACACCTTGGCTGCAGCAGCTGCGGACGAAACCCTCCAAAGTCCAGCAAACTCAAATAACAAACACACTAATCGGAAGACTGGAGCGGACATGAAGATCTTTCTGAGTTACCTTGCCTCTGTCAATGAGATGCGTCAGCCCCAAGATATTCCTGAAGCAGAGCTGGATAAGCATCTTTGTACCTTTTTCATGGTTGTTCGTAAAACAGATAAAACAGAATACGAACCTTGTAGTTTACGATCCATGTTGGCCAGTATAGAAAGGTACTTAAAAATAAATGGTTACCCAGCTTCACTTACTAAGGATATTGCTTTCACCAACACCCGGCATACCTTGAAGGTAAAACAGAAAATTCTCCGGGAAATGGGCAAAGGTGCAAAGCAAAATAACACGTTTAACGTCGCCAGTTTGAAAGATAAAACTCTAGACCGAGCTTTTGAAGCTAGAGAGATGGGGCCTTATAGTCCAGCTTCCATTTCCCAAACCCTCTGCTTTGTTTTTGTGGTGTATTTAAAATTGAGGAAGGCAACAGAACACAAGAAATTGTTATGGGGTGACGTTATTTTGGACAGAGACCAAAATGGACGAGAATATATCACATTCTCAGAGCAAATGCTTCAAAGATGTACCCTACAATATTTAAAGCAGTGCCAACCGGTGGTATACGCGTTGCCTGATACACCCGACAGAGATCCGGTCAGGATTTACAAACTATATGCTTCTAAACGCGCACCGACCATGAACTATCAATATGCACCATTTTATTTGGGTATAAATGTCTTTAACCCTAACGAATGTCAGTCATGGTATAAAACCATTGCTATGGGAATTAATAAACTAAATGACATGGTGCGACAAGTGCGTGAAATAACGGGAATGACTCCAAATGCTGTACCACTGGAATCCACGGAAGCTCCCCAAGACTTGTCACTTCCTTCGTCTGAAAAACATTCCAAAACTGTTATCATGAAACCTAATGACAACGGAAATCAATATTCACATGAAGATAACCCCATGACAGACACAAAAAATTCACACCATGACGTGAAAGATGAAAAAGTCGAATTAAAAAACGGCGAGGGGAAACGATGCATTCCGAAAATAGAGAGATTGTTGTCAAGTGATTGTAGAAATGTTTTGAAACAAGAATCCTGGATGGAAGATGATATGATAGAGAACAAATATCAAACTATTGATTATGATGTTGATGAGAGTGATGATGAAACAGAAGATGAAGAAGGTAACATGTATATTGATGAATCTGAAGCAAGTTTATCTGATGTTGTGGAAGATGGTGGTCATCTTGATGAAAGACAGAAAAATCTTTCTGAAACAGGTTAATGTTTATCCTATTATTGTTTCCTCTTTTTGATTATAACATTAAACTAATCAGATCAGACTATTGATAGTGATAAACGAAATACGTATGTATTTAATTTATCCTGGTACATCGCGAGGAAAGATCAAGGGGTGATAACAATTGTAGAAATTTCTGGATCTATTTTCTGGCTTTTATCTTGATGCTTCCTGGTACAAACTGTGTGATTTGGTGATATACGTGGAATTAAATGATAAAGAAACTAATTTAGCTATCAACCATTTACTTCAAATCCCTCTCAACCCAGTTAAGGTGCAAGAAACAGCCCCCAAGCCCTAGAAATCTATTTTAAGCATCCTTGTTTGTCACTTAATTCAGGCCCTTGCTCTCCATTTACCTTGTCTTATATCGAGGCCTAAGTAAATTCTTGGATTATCCCGACAACTTCTTTTTCCGCCATTTATTCGCAGAGTCTGTTTGTTAAGCAGTCAACAAGCCGACTGGTTGTCAGTTACCCTGGTTAGATCTATTTGATAAGACCAACTTTAAGTTTGGCCAAGGTTCACGAGATGTAAACAGGGAGAGAGAGAGAGCGAGAGAGAGAGAGAAATGGGGTTTCAACGTCCACTCGACATAAATTAGGTCATTTCGGGACTAACATATGGTTTAATTTGGACAGGCGACCTTACTCCTTGTCACATACAACCGGGGATTCGAAACCACGCCATGAGTTGACTCAATGACAGGCTTTATGATACAGCGCTAACCATTCAGCCATTCAACCCCCCTGAGATGTACACAGATTAGCGCTAATCCCAACCCTAACCCTAACCCTAGCCATGGACCTAGCCCTAACGCTTACCCTAACCCTAACCTACAGTCTCGCCAACAATCACGTGCCCTAACCTGATTACATCTCAGCGACCTTGACGAAAATTGAGTTGGCCTTAACAAACAGATCTAGCCCAGTTATCCTCAAATTTCTGCCCGGTATACGCCCCATGTGTGTTTTGTTCGGAATTCAGTATTTTTCTAGTAAGATTGGATGTCTCTACTCTCCATATTGTACCAAATTTGCCATACTTTTATTGGAAATGACTATCCTATAAATATACTTTCGTGGAAATAATCAATGCCCGTTTATTTATAAGGGCTACCATATTTTAAAGCACACGTAATAGTTTACCAAGGTCTTGCTTTTTTTTCAACTTGTTAACGAAGTCTTCTGTATTTTGTTTTTATTATTTAGAATCTCTTGTGAATTATGTAAGTTTAACCACTGCCCAGAAACAGTTCGTGATGTTAATAAACCAACTCAACCCAGACGACGTGACAACATTTAAACAGTGGTTTAAAAACCTCGATATTATTCAAGATAAACAGACGGGTTAGTATAAATATAAATGAACCATTTGGTGTGGGCGTGTTACTTAACTAGCTTATAGCTAGTGAATATACACGCCGATATTTTTACAGTTGGTACGTACATAGCGGACTAGCGAATATTCACTGCTGATCAGTGTGGGTACAGGATTAAAATACGTATAATTACATAAGTTGTCCGATGTGATCCGGTAAATAATGAATGAGACAAGCGCATGCACAGGCCTAGGAAGCCTAGTTTTGCTAATTACCCGTTTATAAGATTGCGGTCCAGGAACTTTGTATACTTCGATAATCAATGACTGTTTATTTACAAGGTCTGTGAACGATGTATTATGATCATTTTATCATATTTTTCCAATAAATCATATATTATTTTTTAAAAGAATAATAATAAAATTACGCGGTCTGATTATCGGGTGCAATATTTCCTACAAGTTATTTTTTTCAGTTTATTTATTATTATTGCATTTAATACACAAATTTATTGGATTTTAATTGCATGTAGTTGTGTGAAATGTGGCGTCGGGCAGTAGATCAGAGTTATGTCCCTTGACACATCACAATCACATTGACCAAGAGTTAGCCCGCCCAACTTCTCAAGGCAAGGATTAGGTATACTCAAACTATTTAGAAATCTAGAAATTGATGAAAACCTACATATGATAATATGAGGTCTGATTCTCATAGGCCAATTCTATACTATTAGCAGGTGTTTTATTTTGCTTAGAAGATGAGGGGGGTTGGATGGCCGAATGGTTAGCACACTGTGCTGTATCATAAGGTCTGTCATTAAGTCAACTGGCGTGGTTTCGATTCCCCGGTTGTACATGACAAGGAGTAGGGTGGCCTGTCCAACCTCCTGGGGTTTTTTTACGGGTCCTCCGGTTTCCCCCCACTGCAAAAAACACCTATGCGCAAGCGAATTATTGAAATAAAATTGAACCATGTTTGTCCCGAAATGACCTAGTTTGTGTTGTGTGGACATTAAATCCTATTTCTCTTTCTCTCCCTTAGAAGATGAAGTATAGTTCATGGTACGTGAAATTTATTGCAGCTATGCCATAAATATTTTTTTTAAATTTATGTTTTAGGCAAACTGGTGTGCAAAGAACAAGAAGAAAAAGAAAAAACAAATAACATTTCAAACACAGATGTAATTGAGCAACAAATAGTTCTAAATATCACTTTATCAAACAGAGCTTTCAAGGGAGAAGCGCCTGTAACCGTGACAGCAACTACTATGGTTTCTAATCAAAACAACTCCCCAACGAATAAAGATGTAAATTCTAATATAGAACCAATGCCCACAAAAACTATATCAAAAGACAATATGAGTGCTCAATGCATTGACAAGACTTCTATCAAAAACTCAACCAACTCCTCAAGAAGAAAAAGACATTTCCCAAAACAGTGTCAAATTCCATCGAAAATTGTATGCTCTTCTTCAGATCTGATTGAAAAAATCTCATAAAAAAATACAAAATAATATGTAGGCATTATTTCTGTGTGTTTAATTGTTTGTATTAGATTTAAGAATAGATTCTCTTGTGAGAATGTCAAAAAGCTTAAGAATCTCAAAAAATATCAGCTATCCTTACTTCAAGGAACATAGGCAGGGCCGGGGGTATGTTAAAAAAAAAACCTATTTGTCACTTTAGTTTTAACACTAAAGAAAGAGTCCAACAACCAAATATTCAAATTTAATTGTAATCTTTATTATTCTATACAAATAACTTTTACAACTTGAACATTCATTAACAAATTTAACAACAAAAATCTGGACTTACAAATCTTTCATAAACAAATTATACAGGAAAAACATGGCCAACAAATAATATTGTGAGCATTGATATACAAGTTATAATCAGAAAGTTCACAAATTATCCCATCGTGCTTTACAAAACTAAATTGTTCGTTTATTTAACACAAACTCCTAAAGATAGGTTGCCAGACAACGAAACATACGCCAACAGCAGCTAAATCGTCCGGGCAGTCAACAAGTGTTGTCGCATATTTTTACTTTTTTCGGTAATGAAATATTTATAATACACTAAAATCTGATTAAGAGTAACAACTCATGAAGTAATTATCAGAAAACCATTAGAATTTGTTTGTTTTTTATAAAGTTCTGCCCCCATGCTAACGCTTAGTATACAAAACTTTTAATATCATGGATATAGCTGTTCAAGTCATAAAAATTTACTTGTTCGTATCAAGATCTTAAACTCTGTGTATCAATCTGAAATCAATCGGATATTAACTTTGGTCTCTAGAGCGTCCACAAGATTTTTTGAAGTGATCAAAGGCCATAACTCTGGCAGTAATTATCAAAAATCGCTGAAAATGAATAGACTTCTTCGTTTCATGACCTTTAATACTTTGTATAAATTTAAAGTTAATCGGATATTAACTTTAGCCTCTAGAGTGTCCACAATATTTTTCAAAGTGATCAAGGGCCATAACTCTGGCAGTAATTATCGAAAATCACTGAAAATGAATAGACTTCTTCGTCTCATGACCTAAAACACTGTGTATAAATTTAAAGTCAATCGGATATTAGCTTCAGCCCTTAGAGCGTCCACAAGATTTTTCAAAGTGATCAAGGGCCATTACTCCGGCAGTAATTATCGTAAGTTGCTGAAAATCAAGCAATTGTGGACGCCGGACGGACGGACAGACAGAGACGACGACAATATACTACCACATTTCAATGTGAGCGTATAAAAATTGGTTAAAGCTGCTCATCGTCAATTCATCATATCTTCGTAAGTACTAAATGGAATTAAACCATTTTTCGACTGCTGACATTTTAAAGATACATCTTTTGCAATTTAGTACTTTGAACAGATTCTTACAATCAGGGACAGTACAGAACCTTTTGTCTACCATGCTTTGATGTATATATCAGAAACATTTAGCAAGACCTTATTAAAAACATGCTCCTTGATGTTTTTAATGTACATGAATTTACAAATATAATAACTAGGAAATCAGATTCAAATTATCATATAATTAATATGCCATAATTATTTATATAAAAGTCTCTTTCACTTCAATTGGAGATTAACAGGAAAGTCGTGAACATATGATTAAGACATAGTATCATATATTTGTGTGATGGTATCCAGATTAATTGGAACTAGTCAATGGCTTGAAATGTTGTGTAGATGCAACATGCAGCTAAAATGTTGAATATCATACAATTTTCAAGTAATTAACACACTTATATGGATATACTACTTCTGAATTTTATTAATATTATTCCGAAGTAGTATATCCATATAACTGTGTTGATTTTAGTATAATCTATTTCTATATGTCTTATAAGGATAATTTTCGAGTAGTTTCAAGTTTGCTGGGAAAATGATCATACGCATGTCCATGAACATATTATGGCCATGTTTTGAATAAATGTGTGATAATCTGTACAAGGCTTAAGATACAAAATTTTACATGTAAATGGTGTACAATAAGATTATATAGATCTATAGTATATGTATACATGTATATCAGACTGTTTATTTCTAAAAAAGAAAGCTCAAAATCAGATTATTACATTAAACCTAAAATGGCATTTTATATTGCTTATTGAACTATGCATAGCAACGACTACCAAAATGGTGACTTCTGTTATTTACAAGAAAGTCTGTACTATACTATTATAGTCATGGACTGATGACAACTAAGCACTAAATACAGGTAAGATTATTATTAATTTTAGGCTCGGATAAAATTTATACATTATTAAGTCTTTCAATTGGACTCAAATTTTTGTCAAACTCAAATAGGATAAAATAAATAAATTATAGCACTTTTTTTTTCTCAAAAAAACTCAAAATGCACCTCTTGCATATCAAGTAGGCTTCAACATTATCTCTAAAATATCACATTTCATCAATCATTAGACATAAATCTGAATTGTTTTATCGTATCTATATTATTAGAGACAATGTTATTAATACTTATTAACCTTTAAAGTAGGGTCTATATGTACAATAAAGCTGTCAATAGGTTCATAGTTATGGTCTAAATATACATATCAAGGCTGAATTCAACTTCTCAAAATTTCTTTATGCAAAACTTTTGCCAAAATATACATACAAAATAATAGTTGTTGTAAAAATACATGTAGATTAAACTACATATATAACAAATAACAATAACATGGATAAATATATATATACATACCGGTATGTAAATACTAAAATTATTACAGTGCTAATTTAAAAACTTAGCAAATTTAAACAATTTAATATTTTACCAGATGTTTTATTCTCTTACAATCAATTTTATCCCAACCTCACGTCTGTTAATTGGTATTACTATGAATTGATTCTGTTTTAATTTTAAAGGCCTGAATTCCTGAACTAAATCTCACTTTCTTCTTGTGTTTTAATGGTAAAGACTTTAATGTGGCTGGTTTTAAACAGTTTAAATTTGTCTCTAAATTAATGTCACTTTCTGATTCTTCATCAATATTTCGAATATTACACAATCTTTTCGCAGAAGGAGAGTTCATTTGAAATAAAGAATCTGTCATTCTTTTTCTAGGAGGCAAACTGGATTGAAAGTCTGAATTTGAATGAGAATGAGGTGTGATGACTGGTGAGCTAATCCGTGTCCGTGTACTTAACATGGCTGCCACTTCTGCTACATCCAAATCATTTTCTGAATAAAATACTCTGTCTTTAAGATTTTCAGAACCAACTGTTTGACCACATTTACGGTGAAGTAGCAACTGTGTATCTTCGGTAATTCCTGTGACAAGAAGCGTATCGGAGGTAGGGATGGTGACTTTCATAGGACGTAATTCCTTACATGAACAATGTGTTGAATCTAGAGTGAGAAAATCGACTTGTTTTATTGATATTCCTTCTAAAGAATCCATATGTTCATGTTCCATACTCGCTTCATGAACATTTTTACTACCATCCGCACTCTTCTCTCCATTCTGTGTGGCTACTCCATTCCCAGTGGAGTTATTTCCCTTGTTATCACCATTGGTGGTTGGATTTGTTATTTCAGGATCAATGGTTGCTTTATCAACTGGGCTACACAAAACAGTTAATTCTAAAAATAGGGGAAAAAAATTTAATATAAAAGATAAACTGAAACAAAAATTATGAATTATCAAATTGCTGAGTTTTAAAAATGGGTGGAGTTTTTTGTATTAATGATGACTTTAAAGAGAAAGTATGAGTAGGACAAGTTTCACGTTTCATCAAAATCGGATCAAAATTGTGACTTCTAGAGGGACCACAACCTTGATATACCATATATTTACATTATTTGCGAACGAGGGGCGGCCATTTTGTTCGGCAGTTTTGGTACCATTTTCACGAAATTTGAACTCAACCATCATTATCATGTAATGGTGATATATTAAAACATTTTCTTAAATTGGATAAAGATTGTGACCTCTTGAGGAACCACAAGCTAAGAACGGGATTTTTTGTACAATCAAGGGCCATAATTCCGGAAGTTATGATCCGATATGCGCAAATATCGGAAGGAACCAAGATCTTTGGGTTACAAAAATGTATTTCAAGTTTTATCAAATTCGGATCAAAATTGTGGCCTCTAGAGGGTCGACAACCTTGATATACCATATATTTACAATATTTGCGTAGAGGGGCGGCCATTTTGTCTGGTAGTTTTGGTCCAATTTGTATGAAATTCAAACTCAACCATCATTAGGGTGTAACAGAGATATATTCAAACATTTTTTTTAAATCGGATAAAAATTGTGATAATCTGATTAAAACACAGATCCTATTTCGTTTCGTTTTTTATAGTTCAAGATTTCGTTTTACTTGTCTTTACTACACTAGGATCTGGAAGAGTTGTTATGGATGGTGTGAGGGATTAGCCAATGAAACGGTCTGTTACTGCGAGCTTTAGGCAAGTTTTCCACAAAACTGTGGGTAATCCACTAGAAACATCAATGCTGATTGGATAATCAAATGTCTGATGTCATAGGGTCAAAAGCCGCTTGTATAACCTCAGATCTTTATGTAGTGTAAGCCATCAAAAGTATAAAAAAACGGAACGAAATATAGATCTGTATTTTAATCAGATTGAAATTGGGACCTCTAGAGGGACCGCAAGCTAAAAACATGATCTTTCGTACAATCAAGTGCAATAATTCAGGAAGTTACGATCTGATATGCGGCAATATCGAAAGGAATGAAGAATTTTGGGTTATAAACATGTATTTCAAGTTTTCGTCAAAATCGGATAAAAATTGTGACCCGTAGAGTCGGTAGAGTGTCCACAAGCAAATTGGACGTATAAGAATATTCAATATTAATTATTCACTAACTATTTTCGTCATTGTACATGATTTTCTGTTTATTTCCTTTTTAGTAAACTCTGAAATCCAAATCCCAAAACTGAACCATAAGAAATATATGACCCTGAACTTGGATACATAGCTACCAAGCCCTTAAGTCACATGTTTATATTGTATAGCAAAGTAAATATTTTTTTTGCTGATCACCTTATCACAAATGGGATTTTGCTTCATAATGCCCAATAAATTGTAATGCAAGTAAGATGTCTAGAATCTGGATACAGCTACAGTGCAAGTTCCTACTCATTTTCCCTGCCCTTTAAAAGGCTTTTGATATTTTCTAAGACACCTAGGTTTGGCCAGCAAGAAAGAGTGATGTCATTATGCAGACCTAGACTAACTAAAAAATTTCAATAAAATTGAAAAAATAATGTACCTCCTCCACTTTTTTCTACTCGAACAGTTTTTAACCAATCAACAAATTTTTGGATATCTTTCACCATTAATCGTTGAAGTAAATTTAATACCTCCATCTTAGAATCTCTTAAACCTATTACGATTTAAACAATAATATAATATTAATGATAAAGCCTCTTACAAAGTTATTTAAATGTTTGATTATATAAATCTTATTAATTTATTGACATGCTTGATCTCAGAAAGTTTATGGGATATATAATTGGCAAGACCAGCTGTGCAATAGAACAAAAAAGGGCCTGCAGATCATTTTTCATGAAAACTTAAAATATGTCTTATAATCAGCTAATGTTAGTTAATGATAAATAATAATTCATCTAGAGCAGGGATGGCCAAACATGGTGCATTGGATGATTACAAGTGACACATTTCATCCCTGTGACAATAATAAAGTGAGGCAGTGAGGCAGTAAAGCATTCTCATTATTTTTAGCGATTGTATTATTTCATGCACATTCTATTAAGCGAATGTTATCTTCTTCATATTAATCTGTTTCCAGTTAAAAATATTATTAATGAATCAAACTTGATCCAGTCCCCTCCCCCCCCCCCCCCAACTTTAACTAGAACAAATAACAGCACACTTACCTAAACTTTGATCATCAAGTCTATTAACATCTCTATCGTCAAGTTCACTTTTTATTTCACTATCAGAGGATGAAGCATCATCTTGGACACCACTTTCTACCTGAAGACATTCTAATGATGGTGACTCTTCTAACTTCTCTATTTTAATGGTTGGTTCTGGTATAACCTGCATCACAGACTGTGGCTGCGTTACCCCGCTATCTTCACGACATATACTCTCTACTGCTGGAATATACACCCCTCGTATTGCGTTGTTTGTGTAGCTGTCCATTAAACCCGCTTGTAAACATATCTTCTGCATGAATTTACTCAGCGAACTATTTCCTAATGCTGTGTTATCAAACCAAACATAATCAGACTCATTAACTTGACGTTTCGGTCGCTGCCAAAATGCATCGGTCATCGGATGGAGATGGGTGACATATCTTAGAAAGGATGCCAATGGACATCTTGGATCACCTGAAATTAAAGAAAAGAAATTCATCAGCAATATGAAATGAACATAATACCTATGTTAACTTTACAAACTATAAAAGAGAAATGTTCATTAAAGAATAAGGTCTGATTTAGAATGAGCATACCCCAATTAGTGCAGAGTTCATTAAAGAGTTTCCTCTTTAGGCACCTATATAAAGTTGGGCTTATGTCGACTTTGCAAATGGGAGCAACTGCTTTCAACCAGTTGCAAGTGTACTTATGTCAATCAATCAGCAACTGAGGGCAACTGACAGTAACTTAATTCATAGTTCTCATGTCGCATCGGAACTGACAGCAATTACACTTAACATGTGACTATTAATTTTTTATCACATGATCAACAAAATGGTGAATACCTTAGAAGAAGCAATCCAAAGGCATGGTCAGTTTTGCCACAATTCTATAACTACATTATTGTCTATAACTACATTTGAAAAGTGGATGCCTTTCGTTTGTTCCATTTTACCGATTTATCAATTCACATGACACATAGTCTCTTATCACGTTATGTTATTTCCATGGAAACAAGTTGACGCCAGTTGTAAGAGTGCTCATGTTGACGACAACTAGTTGCCGCTGGTTGAAGTGCATCGCAGAATTTTAAACATGGGCAACTGGCTTCAACTGACTGGAACTCTAGTTGCTTTGAGATTAAATTCAATTCACCAATCAGCATCAGTGTTCCAGTCAGGAGGCAATTCGGAAATACAAATTCCACTTTGTTTTGTTTTCTATCGCTGCAAATGTCTACCCACAGTTCGGTGCACCTCAAATAAGAACTCGACTCAACAGACCATTTGATAGGCTAATCCCTCATATCACCCAAAACGCCAGTTATTTAACAATTCTTCAAGACCCTAGTGCAGTGATGACAAGGAAAACCAAATGTTCAACTATAAAGATGAAAAGACACAGGATCTGTGTTTTATAATCAGATTGATCATACTGTATTAAGGTACATGTAAATTATGATTCCATAGGGTAAACTGCTACTATAATTGAGCTAATATTTTTTAGCAACCTGTTTATTGCCTTCATTAGATTTCAATTAAATATACATACACAGAGATATCATTTATATACATATCATTCAGCTATGTAATACATATATATATATATATAAATAGAAAATATGTTTAAACAAACAATAGTAATACACATTATGTGGTGTTTATGTTGTGTAATATAACAGGACTATCATTATAAACATTAATCAATTAAGTTAAAATTATTAGAAAGATCAATATCCATGTATTATAATGTGTAATATACCCCTATAAACCTATGTTACATACAACAAGCTATTCTTTACAAAGTATTAAATTTCATGGATAAAATGTGAATGCTAAAGGATTTGGAAACAAAATTAATAAAAGGTACAAAAGTTTTAAACCAAACATTTGTTAGCTAGGTGAAATATCAATTGTCAGTTGATATCAGTTGTTATGTTGTATAAAGATAAGCATAATCCTACCTCCTCTATGACAACATACATATATATATATACATGTTAATGTGATGTAAACTTAAACCACCTTCTGAGCCACCCTGAAGAAGCACATCCTCTAAGATATGCTATTAATCATCCCAAATTAAATGTAATTTCTTATTACATAACACAGGCTGTATGGAGTTTTATTTTAATACATGGTCTGTGAAATAGGATATGATTATATTCAGTTGTTTATGAATTCGACACATCAATCAAATAAATCACTTGTTATCACCATATATGGTATTTCCTTTAAAAAATTACATCACATTAAAATGTACTAAACATGTGTTTTGTACTAAATTAAAGTAACATTTTATTGGATATTTACATGAATTTCACTTTTTTTTAAACTTACCGGGTCTTTCATACATTCTGTCACCAAGTTGGTTACCATTAACAGTTCTGTCATCGCCTGGAACATTACCAACTTCTCGAATACTGAATTTATCCGAATATTTTAACCAAACATATCTTCGACCAGTTTCGTCGGTTCCGATATCAAAATCTGACTTGACCATAGTTCGTAAACAATCTTTCCCGCGATTTATAATATATAAATTAACGTCAAAATAAACTTTGTTTTGTAACGATTCAGGATAATTTCCTGCTAAGGCATCACTTAAATATAATTTTTTTAGGGATTCATATTGAATTCTTGATTGTTTCACTGGTTTTATTCCTGTAAATGAATAGGATGATGGCACTGGTGAACTTCTGGGTCCTGGAGAAGCTCTAGGACTTGACTGTCCCAACATAGATTCTCTGCTCATTAACAGTCCTTTCCTCTTTGCACATCTTTGATAAATTAAATTTGCGTAATCAAACGCTATGTCGTTAATAATGTCAAAACCATTTTCATTTAGAAAGAACTGATGTAGTCCTTCACGAATGGTGGTAATGATGTCATCAGGAGAGTTTTTAAAAGTTAAATAGAAATCTTTAAGAAATTCGGCTAGTTGTGCTTTCGTCATTTGAGAGACTGTACTTATGGTGTAATGGCCTTTTGTCGTAGCGTACTGTAAAAGATGGTCTGTAGCTACAACAACCATATTATACATGATATTACTATCTGTAACAGTACCCGGCATCCCCAAACTCTTTTCTTTGTCTTGTTTTGAAGCCTTTGGTTTTCTCAAATCCATTTTTGTCTATCCTAAACAATCCGATTACACAGTAGACCGTCTACGTTGTTTTGGCTGGAATGACGTCATCCACGAGCCCCAATTGGCTGCTGACGTTATAACCATTCGGTGAATATAGGTCTTTGAAACCCGGCTCGTGCAGCTCACGTGTCCTGTAACTTATACACTGTTTCGCCTTACTTAGATCACCAACAGGTATTCCATTCTTTCTTCTGCTTTCCCTCTGTTGACAGCTATCATTTATTTAACTTTTAACACGTTCTGATACAAACTAACCCGTCTGTTACCCTATCGCAAAATAATAGACTGTTCCTGCTACGCAAGCTCTTGTATTCGTCATAGTGGTGTGACTCAGCGACCTATTTCCTCGCACAGCCAATTCATTTTACACGCATAATCTGCGACGTCATTCGCCACACTGCTTAACAACGGGCCGATACCGTTCATATCTCACCGTAGCAACCGGATTTGACTAGCCAGGTTTGTATTCTAGGTTAAAACGTGTGTCTAAAAGCAAACTGTTAAATTGACGTCACGATGTTTTTCGGCACATATCGTAAACAAAGCCAACACAATATTGGCTGATGCTGAAATATAAAATGAACGAAAATAGATTTTAGAGGAAAACTATTAAGGTGATTAAGTTTACAAAAAGTGGCTATTTTAATAAAGTCGACTTCCTGATTTTACAATTTAAAACGGTAGTGTGTTTATTATCCCTATATATTATAGCCGCTACTATGAAATCGCCGACACAAGGTTATCCTTGCTGATAACGTCCATGCACATGAGTAATAGACTTGATAAAGCTAATGTTTACGTTTCTTTGCAACAGTAATATAACGCTTACAAAAAGGCTCATATATGTCCGCATTGCATTATTCAAGAAAATGGCGAATTTGAATGCATTACTTATAGGCTTTTTGAAGTCACAAAACATTTCCTTTGTGATTTAACTGTTGGCAATATAGCCCAATCTATTGTGAATTTTGATACCATGGAGAGTGTAAACTATTAACATGAACATAATTAGTATAGGACCAACGCTATTAATAAATCCAGTGACTGTAGAGCGCATTTTGTATGTTATAGAATATTCAATTGAAGCAGAACAGTAGGACCCTCCGTCCTGCATCACTGACAAGGGGGAACCACGCCGGAAAATCTCGATGAACTTTCTCGGCCAATGCAGGGATCGAACACCCGACCTCCAGGCTAGCGAGCCAGCGTCTCACCCACTTAGCCACGTGATCCCCGTCTAGCCTCGTTCTTCGAATCCCGTGTTAAACGCCTTATTGGACACGATTCGTGTAGCAATGGTAAAATATATATTTTGTCATAAATATTGGATATCAGAAGCTGATCTTTTCCAGGTAGGATCACAACATCGATGTTGATTTAAATTGACCAATAAGTGATAAATGTAATCATAATCATGATTTAATGCCATAAATCAATTATAACTTTTTATTTCATTCCTGCAGGGCTGAATTACCATTAAGCAAAATAAGAACGTGTTTAGGGTACCATGGGAATGGCTGCACCACATAATGTCTGCTTTGTTAGATGCCAAATTTTAAATATTTAATTCAAAAATTTTCATTTTTGGGGGGCTTTCCTTACTGTATTGTCACAATTGATAATGACGTGTATAAAACCCCAGAAAAACTCTAAGAGGTGCTTGAGGTTGTTTATCGTTTATTATTGTTTATGTTTTGAATAACATATATTATGGGAGCAACAAAAATCTTTAAAGTGCTTATAATATAGGGCCTCAATAAATCGTAATCCGACCCTGGTCCCTGATCTAGGCTACCTTTTGTTATACACTGTTCCGTCTGTTCGTATTAATTTATCTGTCCAAATATTATATATCGACCTTTCTGTGACTTTCTGTATATAAAAGTATAATTCTGCCACGCATAGATATTTCTAAATCTAGATTTATACAGCGTCCCACATACAAGATGGAAAAGTACTTGGCATGTATCTTTAGAAAGGCAAATAATTACGTGTTTGATTAATTTATATTACAATTTCAGTGAGGGAACCCGTGTAACAATTCTCAAAAATCCTCGTATTTGTTTTTAAAGTAAATTGAAAAAAAGGGATTTGTCGCTCGAAACCACTAGGAAGCCCAAGGTATCCACCCTGACTGTTGATTTAACCCTCAAATATCTATTGCCGAAAAAGGCTATGGCGAGTTAGACAATTGGGAATATATGGAGCAGGTAATATAGGTCTATTTTTTTATCCTACATTAGAATCCTCGCTACTTATCTTTCTCAATATGCCTTCCCCGGATGAGTCTCTGATCACCACATGCTTCATTTGCAGCACTGTGTAGGGTCCCGTGCCACTGACATATCTTTACTTCCATAAACTACGTAAAGGGCTGTTTAAACGTAAGTCTAGACTTACAGGCCTATATAAATCACCAACAAAAATACATCGCGTCGCTCGCTGAAATATATCCAGTATTAGACCAAGCTTAGTTCCGTTTAGATAATCATTACAATTCCTTTTCCTCGGCCTCATACAATCTGTTTCACAGAGTAATACGAAAGTCTTCTAATATCTCTGTAAAAGATGACTGCCTTCAGCACATTACGTCATATCACGCGGCGTCTATCATTGACTCAATGGCGCGTGCATTGTTTACATAAGACGTTACTGATTCGAGCAGAATGTCGCCTTATATTCATTTTAATACCCATTTACACTAAAATAGGAAATAATTTTTACCTACAAATACTTAAAACGTCTTTATTTATTTTTCTAATACATAAAAGAAATGTTTTAGAATTTAATTTGTCGGAGGAAAAAAGTTAATATTTGTGGCTCATTAAGTCGCATCGATGTCATCCTTATCAGTGATTGTCGCGGCCTAGCGAATATTCACTGCGGATCAGTGTGTGCCTCCTAGTGTACAAAGTCAAATATCTTAACTGCTTTTTATGACCACTACGCTCGACAGACACCAGCGGAGACCAGTGTACACGCACGGGATATGGAGTGTTAAATTTCATCGAATGCCCTCCAAGATGTTGACGACTGAACTTCCAATGAGGATCATCAGGTCTATAATTGATCTATAAATGTTTCCGTTAAAAAATACACAATACTTGCCTGGTTTTATCCGGCCTTGTGAATCTAATTGATCGTATCGTCTGTTGTTCTAGTTTTTTTTGTTTTTTTGTGTGTTGTGCAGTTATCCTACATATCATTTATACTGCAAAATATGCGCGGACCATGACGGTCTGTTTTAATTATACGTATGTCTATTTTAAAAAGAATGTTATTCCAATTGTCACACCTTTCAATGCATGATGTAACCGGAAAGGCGGGCCTTATGAATAATATGAATAGTATAAACTTATAGATATAAAATTTCCAGATGACGAGTATACTATTTTGTATGTCCGCGTTCATTTGACATTGTGAGCGATAACAGGTCATAAATTATCTGCAGTGTATGTCTTGCGACAAACCAAAATAAAACACCAAAGGTTTTGATTTTATCGCTGTTAACTTCAGGGTATATAGTGGATCCGTGGTATAATATGGCTGATATAATATTTAATGTGAATAAAAGGTTCATTTGATTTAACTTGACACATTTAAAATGTCTTCCTTTCTCAGTACTAGGCCCTAAACTTGAGGCCTTTGACGTACAATTAAGGAGTTGGCCCATAGTCGGGCATCACAAAACCTATACGTCACTGCTTGGTGCACATGATTGATATAATGGAGTGTTTATTTATAACAATTTTCGTAATAAAAATATAAAAGTCAGCAGTGTAGACCATACACGCGCCCACAAAACAAAAACAATATCGCTGCACCCAAAATAGTATATTTATAATACTAATAACTTGTCATTTCACATGACGTACATGGGTGAATATATTTTAACCTGCGCATGTATTTCAAAGAAGATAGTTTATTTGTTAAAGAGGACTAGAGTACGCAACCATCGACGGGACTGTAATTTTGAAAATGGGCCCTTATTTGTAAATAGACATATATGTAGATGTGCACAAATAAGAGAGTGAGAAATGGGGTTTAACTAGGTCATTTCGGGACTAACATATGGTTTAATTTTATTTCAATAATTCGCTTGCGCGCAGGGGTCTTTAGCAGTGGGAGGAAACCGGAGGACCCGGAGAAAACCCACGAGGTTGGACAGTCGACCCTGCTCCTTGTCACGTACAACCGGGGATTCGAAACCACGCCAGTCGACTCAATGACAGACTTTATGATACAGCGCGCGCACGCTAACCATTCAGCCATCCAACCCCCCTAGATGTGCACAACACTTACAAGTAAAATTCCAAATTCTCCCTTTTTATAAAATGAAAGGTGATGCCATCACACGAAAAGGAAATTAATGGAAAACCATTTTATTTAGAAAATACGTTCCTTGGCTTAATAATCAATAAGTAACAATTGGCCATTAACTTCAGCCCCCCCCCCCCCCGTGAAAAAATTGTCAACCATAGATATACATTGTCCGTCAATTTTACAGCACCCCTGAGCTAGTTACGACCCTAAATCTATCCCAGGATTATCTTTCGATGGACGAATGGTTAGCACGTGCGCGCTGTATCATAAAGACCCCTCCGCGCAAGCGAATTATTGAAATACAATTAAACCATATGTTAGTCCCCAGATGACCTAGTTTGTGTCGAGTGGACGTTAAACCCCATCTCTCTCTCTCTCTCTCTCTCTCTCTCTCTCTCTCACTCTCTTTAATCCGGCCCAGGCTATCGGAAGACAAACCTCGATGTAGGCATATGTGGGGTTGCCACCATACCACAGAATAAGTCTTATTTCATTTTTAAAAGAAATACAGATTTTCACTTTAAATTTCAAATTTTAACCCGGTGTTATGTTTTCAGTGACGTTATGATGTATATTTCTTGCGTGACAGGCATTTTGTAAGGCAACCGACATCACGTTCAAACAAAACAAGACGCGGAACACAAGCGGGACATATCAATTATGCACGTCTTGTATAACATTCTCTAGGGTTTCTTTTAAGTTTTCATTTAATAGAGCGCTTCTTCTATTTATTTATTTCATGAAAATCAACTTTTATTCACACGAAGTGAAGACATACAACGCCATAAAGGAAATGAAAGTCTGTTTGAAATGAATTGTACATTTCATAAATATGTAAAATGTCCCATATTTGAATACAGAACACTCCGCCGAACTCCATGGTATTAGAATTTAAAGGAGGCAAGTCGCTAACTTAATACCATCCACTGTCTTCGACATTGCAATCATGACTTATTGGTCAATTTAAATCAACATTGATGTTGTTATGTTACCGTAAAAAGATGGGCTTCTGATATCAAATATTTAAGACAAAATGAAATTTTTTAAATTGACAGAATGCTTTCGAGCGCCATTTGTAATAAAGGGACATATAACATTATAATATGCGTTGCGACACATTTCTGTCCATTTCTAGTTGCCAAAGAATGGTGATTTAGCTGCTTTAAAGGGGCCCGGCCTTTTTGATTTTGGTCAAAATAACGTATTGGGTTAGTGGGTTGATCTGTGATAGCAGGGCCGAGTACCTAAGCACCGAAACGATTACGGTATCTAATTCAAAGTAAAACACGATACTATACATGCTGATATTAAAATTGTGTTCATTTTACTAAATGGTTAATCCGGTACTGACTGATGGTGAAACATTTATACGATTAAATGTGTTCGCATCGAAGTCGGCCTTGTTTACTAATTTTAGTTTCAAATTTGGCTTACAGGGGAACACAAAATCGGTTATATTCATAACACCGGCTTTATCCATAGACGTAAAATTTCAAAGAATGTCATCGTAAAAAACAAATCAACATTTGAAATCATATCAAATCCAAATTTTGGCCCAAATTAAAGCGGTCTATTAATATTTAGCTAATGAAACACGATGTAATTTCCGTATTTATATTTATACTATCACGGAACAATAATTAATTGTGCCGACATGTTCACGAGGAAGTCTTTGTTTAAAATACGCCCAGTATTATCACTTTACAATTAAACAGTACAAATTTGTCTAGATATACATGTAATAACATTCAATAAACTGGTTTGTTTTATCAAGGTTTATCTTGATTAGCCGGAGTCTATTTTTATTTCGATCATTATATCCCTAGTTACAGGTTTATCTTCAGGGACTTGGTGACGTAATGCTGACGTCAACTAGAATAATTCAACCTATCAGTAAAAGGGCACGTGTTATGGTTGACGTCATTAAGGACAGGGTGTATTCTGAATACCAAGATTCGATCTAGTTGATTAACATAGTCACATTGATCTGGTCCAAACAAATTAGCCATTCAATCACCGTGTAATAAAATGGTGGAAGACTAGGTGCAAACGATGTTTATTATTGCTTGTAGGCTTTAGTTAATTAGGTTCTCTTGTTGTATGTAATCACCTTAATGACGTTGAATGCCATGCTCTCAACCACTGGTCATAATGATCTACTAGATACTTATTATTGAGCAGGTTTAAAAGCATACGACACATAGAGTTCCACCTACTTTGTGTGTGTGTGTGCGAGAGAAAGAGAGAGAGAGCGAGATGGGGGGGGGGGGGGTAACGTCCACTCGACACAAACTAGGTCAATTCGGGACTAACACATGGTTCAATTTTATTTCAATAATTCGCTTCCGCGTAGGGGTCTATAGCAGTGGGATGAAACTGATCAACTAGCTTATTAGTGTCTGTTCTCAAGCGAATCTAACCATAGATAGGCAGTCGCAGTTTGGTATGGTTTAAAAGTTAATAATCTGCCCCCTGACGGCAATCGGTGAGAATTATATAAATCTAAAAGAATGGCAGTTTTATTGACAACTTATTTTTTTAATCCAATGTCTAAAATAAAAAGTGGTAGCCAAATTTTGAAGCTCGAGAACTTTTGGCCTTGATTGAAAATTAGTACCGTATAAAATATTCAAAATTAAATGAAATAGGGTTTAACGTCCTACTCTTCTGCTTGACTGGATTAATCAAGACGGAAAATATTCCAAAACATAGCTGAATGGAACGCGAAGTATAAATGAAAGATTCTTAAAATAAACGATCACAACGAAGCATGTTGAGTGACCTGCAAGTTTACAAACTTTTTATAACTGATTTTACAAACTTGATCTATCACTTTAACTTGTTTATGCAACTTTAGAACATGAGTTTATTAAACTTCTTAGATGTTCAGCGCAGATAACGGGGCATCAAGCCAGATATTTCATAAGTATTTCTAATGTAAAATTCCAAAGAAAAGAATGGAATGACTTGTATGGAACGTATAGCAGAATTTATATTGCTATTTACTTACCCTAGACACATAATGATGGCGTCATTAAATCGATCAAAACTAATGAAAATTTCAAATTAACATTTACTGACATAATTTGATCGGATGGAATCATGTATTGTGCCAGTTTCTATTTCATGTTCATATAGACTTCTATTCTGGCGCTGTCCAACCTCGTGGGTTTTCTCCGGGTGCTCCTGTTTAGTCCCACTGCTAAAGACCCCTACGCGCAAGCGAGCGAATTATTGAAATAAAATAAAACAATATGTTAGTCCCTAGTTTGTGTCGAGTGGACGTTACCCCCCCCCCTCTCTCTCTCTCTCTCTCTCTCTCTCTCTCTCTTCTGGCGCGTATCCCCTTTAATATATAATGGCAAATTCTTAGTTGTCCTTTTTGTTATATTACAGATTGATTCTCACCTAATGTGATTTGACAATCGAAGAATACAATGGATGAAGTATTGACGTCAATCAAGAATCAAGATGATGGATTAAATCTATGGGGAACTGTTGAGAAACTACCCATGAAGGACGTCATAGCATGGCATGATTCAAACCATTTTGATTTTCTCCACCATGCTATTATCCACAATAACGTCATCGCTGTTGGTACCTTCTTGACTCGTGGTTACTTCAAATCGCTCCAGGAGCCAAATATATATCCCTATCAGCATGTCGCCTGTTTATTAGGATTTAAAACTATATTAACTATGTTCCTGCAGGAACGGCAATTCGATGACAAAATTTTACATAAATCTTATTTTAAACAACTGTGCAGAAGTTTACGAATATCCTTGAGTTCCGAGACCACGAATCATAACACTGATATTCACTCAACAACACGTGATCAGCTCTCTGTACTTGATGTTGCTTCCCTTGCCGGTCACATTGGCTGTGTTAAGACCATTTTAGACTTCCGCCAATTAAAGGGATATATCGGCTTAAAACAAAGAGGCGATTATTTTTCCTTGGCATGTTATAGCAATTCTCCCAACTCCCTAAAACTACTTCTACAAGAAAGAGCAGGGGATGCAAATTTGGAGGATTCTGTTAAGATTTCTTTGGTTAAAATGCAAGTTGAATGTCTTGATTGTTTATTAAGTCATGGGGTTAGGACCGAATCTCTATATGGCGGCATGAATCTATTTCATGTCTTATACTCCTACGTTTATGCTTTCGAAAAAGAACAATTTACGAGTTTAGCTAAAATGACATCGTTGATTTTGAAGTATGGCTTTGATGTAAAAGCGTGTGTACCTTCGAGAACATATCCACTGTATAGTTTCATTGATAAATATTTTGGACCGGAAGACATTGAGATCAAAGGGAATGGCATTTTACATTGTCTCAAATTATTATTAGAGGCAGGCGCCGATCCCAATTTTAATGAAGTTATCATGGAAAATGGCATTTTTGGAGGTGCTTTCGGAAGGGAACCGTTTTCCTCTGCCTTTCATGCATTTTTAAGTCGTTATGTACAATTCAGTTTGAAGAAAGGTGAAGAAACAGAATATAGAGGCCTTCCAGATTTTTTCTTCAATATGTGCCAACAGCTTCTACAGAACGGGGCGGGCCCAAACTATCGTGCCATATTTGGAACTCCAGAACAGGAAATATCTGTTTTTCAAGCAGCGTGTTTATGTTCCATGAATGTAGAAAATGACAATAGAATTATAAAACTGTTTCTACAATACGGTGGTGACCCGAATGGTTCTGGATTTTCTATCAAATCACTACTAGATTGGCATATTACATTAAACGCCTTGGAATATGAAACGGTAGAACTGTTAAATATGTTGTTATGCACAATGTCTCATGCTAACTACCGACAATCAATAAAAGAAATCATGGATTCAGCTAACATGGATATATTCCTCCCAAATTTAGTCCAGTCTGTGAATAATGAGTCGATTACAGTATGGACATTAAAAAGATTTTGCTGTCTCTTTATTTTGAATTCTTGTCAAAGATCATCAATGAAAGTGAATTCTCTACCGGTGCCAGAAAATGTAAAGAAGCAGATTTTTCCTTTTTATTAATAAAAGTATTTTAAATCCTATGATTGTTCGTTTCTAGATAAATCGCAAAATTCTACTTGAATTTGTGTCAGATGTGGTGAGAAATGATTCCTTATGGCGAAAAATAAAGAATCACGGTGAAAAATAGAAGGTAAGGGTTCCAAAATAGCCCTAGAACAGAGGTGGGGAAGAGCGGTATTTTCATATTGCAGCTCAACAGGGATAGATATGAATGGTCAGCGGACAGCGTCCGATCAGAGACCGTTCCTAAAGGAATTAATCGTAACCTTATCTTGACGTTCAGCATATTTTCACCCATTACCCACAAATTATCGTAACTCTTTCCTAAACTATACTCCCGATTCGTGGTATTCATAGACCACGCGAAAGCGGGACAATTCACAAAAGTTTACAACCTTTAGAAAAACTTACGAAAAGGTTACGAATTATTTCCGTGGATTTCACATATCCCGATGTAAGTTTATTTCGTATCTTTTTCGTAAATACGTAACGAATGGTCGTTAATGTTTAGTTTTATCCCAATCTTTGTGAAAATTAACTACGAAAATGATATATTCCTTCTATAAACGCTCAAATTTTACTACTAATTAATGAATAAAATCATTTATGTGGATAAAATGCTAATTTCATGCATTTTGTTTATTTGTTTTTGTTTACTACGTCATAGAGCGTGACATAGTATGCATTCATCGTTTCTAAGTCTGTCAAAAACCGAAACGAAGCCTATGTTTTAATTGAGGGTCTTGAACGAAATTAGGGTAGTCTAAAAAAAAATGTAGCAGCCTGATCAAATCATTGAAAAAGAGTTGATGAGAATATTTGTATGAAGTATCGGTATTTAAAATTGCCCCGACAGGTCGTGTCTAATGCCTGCGTCTATACTTTGGCCTAACTAAGCCTAGAAATCACAGTGTACGGTAATGAAAACTAGCCTATTGGTATTATTTTACTGAACCCAATGTCTGTGATGAATTAAGTTAAACTTAAGTATATGTACTATGTTGTAACGTTAATATAGGGGCTAAGTGAGAGGGACACAATGACGAGCTTTGCGTCATGGTTTTGAGTTTTTGCGCCCGCCTCCCACGCTCACGATCGTCCCACCCATTTTTATACGTCCACATTTCAGTGTGGTCGTATTATGTCGATCGTCACCTAGAAATGGTTTAAACAGGTCACAATTCGATGGAATACACTTACTGCTTATTACTGAGCAACGTTTCGACTAGGCTTCTCTGCTTTAGTCATTATCAAGCAATGGTAATGAGTGAAATGACTAGAGAAGCCTAGTCGAAACGTCGCTCAGTAATAATTAGCAGTAATTGTATTCCATAGAGAAATGTGACCTGTTTACTCCAGTTCAATTACTATATGCCATTGAAACAATTTAGAAATGGTTTCACTTCTGATGTCTCCCGTCTTGCTCCAGCCACAGTTGTGGATGGCTAAATCTATTTGCTAAGGCCAGCTCAATTTTTTTCAAGGTCTCTGAGACGTAAATAAGGTTAGGGTACGTGGTTGTTAGCGAGATAGTTTGGGGTCAGTTTAATTGGAAATTAATGGGGTTATTGGCCAGTAAACTTTTTGTAGTCAAATGACTAAAAAAAACTGTCTCAAAGGAAGTCCTTAGAGTGATCCACTATGGTTACTGCTAAATGATATTGATAAGGCCAGCTCAATTATTCGTCATAGGTGAAGAGATGTAAACAGGGCTAGCGCTAATCCAAACCCTAAAGGGGGGTTTATACAGAACGCGAACGCGAACGCGGTTTTTCGTCCTGGAATGCTCTAGTCAGAGCGCGAACCCGAACCCGAACAAATATTGGTTCGCGCGAACGACCGCCTTGATTGCCTCCCGAGCGAATTTTTCAGAAGTTCGCGCGAACTTTTTCCCAATGAACCAATCACCGGGCACTTCCCATGACATCATTTCCACGAATAGAAACCGCTAGGCCTGATCGTTCCCACTAGTGTGCAATATTCAAAGTCTACTTGTAAAAGCAGAATGGAATGGACAATATAGTTCTTCTACGAGGTGATGGTATTCTCAAAACTCACTTCTCTGTAAAATTTCATGCACTGATATTCGCCTCTTTCTCTTCCTTCGTTGTTTTATGTACAAATACAGTGACAAGATCTCGTCTGTGTCTGATTCCACCTGAGCCATGATAGCAAATGACAAAATTTATCTCTCACAGCTAGAAAAAGACAAGCCATCACGAAAGCCGTCGACGGTTTTCCGCGTTCAGGTTCGCGCCCTATTTGAACGGTGAAACTGCTCTAAAGTCGCGTTCGCGTTCGGGTTCGCGATGGACGCGTTCGAGTTCGCACTCTGTATAAACAGGGCTTAACACTAACATTGGACTCAGTGGCGGCGTCAAGGGGGGGCAAGGGGGTCTGCCCTCTGTTTGCCCCCCCCCACCCAATAATTTTGGAAAATAAAAAACAATAACACGTGAACCACTTGAGAAGTGCTTTTTACGATCCTCAAAGTTTTTGGGTATATAGGTTCAAAGCGGCGAGAATATGCCTTCACTTGATACACTCACTCCGTCTGTTTGACATTTCCCTCTCTGTTCGGATAAGCTGGTGATTTGGAGACAAACTGTATCTGGTCAGCTCTATTTCTGAAATACTGCCCGGCTGCATTTCCGGCAGTCTATTTCACAAAATATCGTGGCGAAAATATTCATTCACTTTGATTCACTCCCTCCGTCCGTTTGACACTTTACTCTGACTAGTGATTTGGCGACAGGCGGTATCTGGTAAGCTCTATTTATCTCGACGGTCAGTGCCTGAAATACTGCCAGACTGCATTTCCGGCAGTCTACTTTTCAAATTTTCGGGGGCTTCGTTGAGGTTCGCAAGTCCGTTCATTTGGCACTTTCCTCTCTGGGGTAGGATAGACTAGTGATCAGGAGACAGACGGTATCTGATCAGCTCTATTTATCTCGACAATCGGTGCCTAAATACTGTCAGACAGCATTTCCGACAGTCTATTTTTCAAAATTTTCTGGGGGAGATCCCCCATACCCTCCATAAGGATTCCCTACTTTGGCGCTCGTGAGTGGGCTTCGTCGAGGTTCGGTCGTTTGACACTTTATCTCAACCATCAGTGCCTGAAATACTGCCAGGCTGCCCTTCCGGCAGCCTGTTTTTCTAAAATTTCTGGGGAGGCCCGATACCCGTAGTTGAAGCCCCCTTAACCTTGGACTTTGCCCCAGCTTCGCCCCTCCAACCACCGGCGGCTGACGCCGCCACTGATTGGACGCAGCTTCAATGCTACCGACAGGGAGAAATCACGCTGCAAAATCCCGGGGAACTTTGTTGACCAACTCCAGGATCAGTGTACAGAATCATAGTATTGAGAGGAATATGGCCGATAACCTGACACCACTACAACCTGACACCACGAGAACACGACATCACGACATTTTAACCCGTCAATACATTTTACGCGACATTACAAAACTTTTAATGTGGAGGTGTCGGATGAAAATGTCGTATTTTTGGGTTAAAATGTCTTGATGTCGGTCGGGTTGTCGTGGTGTCGGGTTAAAATGTCGTGATGTCAGGTTGTCGCCTTATGAAGGGTGACACCACGACATCACGACAAGATACCAATCAGCCGCCATACCAAACTGTACTGCAGGTACACATGCAATCTGTGTCAACATTTTTAGTATAATGAATCAGACAAATATTGAAATACGGAAAATGTCTCAAGTATCTATATGAGAACAATTTCTGCAATGTATAATGTTAAAATAAATAATATCCAACACTTCATAAAGAGTAGTTTATTATTGTTCAACAGTTTTAAGTTAACAAATGGGTAAATTTGCCATCAATTTTTAGTTCATACATCTACTAAAGTAATATCTAATGTTTAACCCTTAATACTGACAAAAAAATATAAACATCCTATTGAAATAAACATTCTTATAAAATCACCTTCAGCAGCTATCATATAAATATAAATTTCTTATCTTTCAATAATGCTTTATGAAGAAATGTTGAAAATAGAAGTTTCATCATTATCGGTCCAAAGAAAAAAAAATCGTAACTTGTTTAAAAATATTTTCCTGCAATAATGTCAATGCTTATTACACTAATACTATTATAAAGTAATAACGACAGGAGTCAGTCTAATGTATCTCTAAACAAATTCTCAACTTCTAACTGTTCTCTAAAAAGCGTAAGTTGGCATAATTATGTTAAACAACATTCCATTACCCGGTCATATTAAAGATGTATATTTTCAGAAAACATTTTCAAACTTATTCTTTTGGTGACAAATACAATGTTTGTTATTATCCCCAGCTAAAACTGACTTCATCTATATACTAGTAAATATCTTTACACTACAAATGTGATTCAACCAATATTATCAATGATATATACCTCAAGAAATGTATACTTCAAATTTAAGGCACTTTTTTAATGTTTTAATTTCATTTTCTGAAAATTTTAGGGTGTTTAAATGAATTTATTATATATACAGTGAAGATTACCATATTTTTTTATAACAATCACAAAACACTTTATCAACATCTCCTTAACGAGACTTCAAGCAATAATCAAAAATCAAATATATGTGCAATGATGAATAAATACACTATTACTAAAATTACATTGTTCAAAAAATTATTCTATTTGATCAATTATGTCATGTTTTTTTTTTTTTGTTGTTTTTTTTATTATTTCATGCTGCCATATTCATACAGATCTACTTATATCATGAATGGGGTCCCAGGGGCCTGCAAGGGTTGGTGAGCGGGTGTTTACCCAGAAATTATGGGCGGAGCGCCTAGTTGGATGAGCAAGGAGATATGGTAATGAAATAATGGAGACCAGAATCTGTTCTAGTTTTGTAAATTGCATTGAAACCACGTGATTTTTTTCCACTAAAATATAAACCCACACCCACATACCCTTTCAATTAGACCCTACATTATTTTTACTACAGGCAGATATTTAAGGCCATATTACAAACAGTTAAACTGAAACCGTATCTATAATTTTGTAATTTGCAAACAAATATAGATATAAGACAAAAACTAATTAATTATTTATTGCAATAAAACAATCATTGAAAATTAAAATTACGCAGTTACTCTTCACTTTAAATGTCATCAAAGTTAGTCGTTATCTTCATCGCTGTCACTACATTTATAAACATTCGGTTTCTTTAACAGTCTTTTGTTTCATTTCCACATTTACTACGGGGGGGGGGGGGGCTGGGAGAACAATGCCCAGTCGTTCGGACTGGAGGGAAAACAATAGTTTAAACTATATTTGATTAAACAAACTGAATCGGGATCTGAGCCTATTTACGCGACAATTTCCTTTGTCACCCGAATTATCTGAATGAATCAATCATTAACTAAAACAAATTTTCCACAAAGCTGTGATGATTGTTTATTTTTAATTAATTACACAATTATATATGGTCGCATGATATATGGTCGCATTCTCCATTCTCTGATGTTTGTGCCCGAAACACTGAAATACATTGCCTGAAAAATGAACTGTTCGTCGATTCCGGTGGGGGGGGGGGATATAAGTTCTCCCAAAACAGTATTTCTACTAATATATCTGTAAACCTTTAGTTCGGATTAGATTTAAGACTAAATTCCTAACAGATATTTGAATTGAAACAAAGCATCTATAAATATATAATCTTCTCACTAAAATAGATATATGGCAAAGCCTAAATAATAATACTGAGTGGCAATTGTAATGAAGAGAATAAAACAAGCCAACAGTGAGGCTGATGTCCCCCGCCGAAATCCCGAAATAAATAGATGACAGATAATAATTAATTGAACATATCTTTTTCAAAAGTATCGAGCAATCAAACTGCTTATCAGCTATACATTAAGTTTCATCACTCTCTATTAGATATTCACCTAATGAACATCAAGTTTGAACATTCTACCTCAATTAAAAGTAGAGTTGTTACGTTCCAAAGTCTTGACCAATCAAACTGCTTACCGCTCCTTAGCCTAAGCAGAGAAGTCTCGTCAAATTTAGTCAAGGTAATAATATAATGAATCTATACTCGGAGTTTCATAGCTCTCACTTAATTATAACCAAAGTTAGTGTGTCCCAAAGAATCAACCAATCAAATTACTTCTCTGCTTACCGTAAACAGACAATATTGTGTTCAACGTCTCGACCAATCAAATTGCTTATCGCTCTGCTTACCCTCAGCAGAAAATGTTCATTATCGAACTTAGTCAAGGTGTTGATGTGATCACTCTCACTTAATTAGAACTAAAGTTATTGTGTCCCAAAGCACCAACCAATCAAATTGCTTATCTCTGCTTAGCTTAACTTAAGCAGAAAATGACCACCTTCGAACTCCATCAAAGCATTAACCTACACCAATTTTGAAAATTCTAGCTCAATTAGAAGAGTTATTGTGTCCCAAAGCATTAACCTACACCAATTTTGAAAATTCTAGCTCAATTAGAAGAGTTATTGTGTCCCAAAAAGTGTGACGGGCGGGTGGACAGACAGTAAGTGAGCCAGCCCCTTACTGAGTATCCATGCCCCACTTGCACAATGATGACACTTGCATGGAAAGCAAGAAAATACTAGCTGTACACGTAGAGAATGCCCTCTCCCACCCCCTTCCCCTCCCAAACTATAATGTATGGCGTATGCTCATCTTAATTATACGGGTTAGCGCAGAACAGTAAGACATTAAACTTAATTTGATTTCTTTTCTCTCCATTACAACGTTGTCACTCCCAGTACAGCATTATTTAGTTTTGGTCATATCTATTTCAGTGAGCAAACTAAATATCTGTAGATGCTATGTTTCAGTTTAAATATTTGTTAGAGCTTTAGCCTCAAATCTTATCTGAAAAAAGATTGAACTTTTATAGGCCCTTGTCTGTAGTTAAATCCTATTCAGTAACAGTTTATCGAACAAATTCTTTAAACAAAATACTGTTATCAATAATTATTGATATTTTCTATAATGGGGATAACTCCTTTTACCGTAAATGGATTTCCAAAACACCGTATGTTCCCCTGTCCATTGTTTTCTGCATTTTGCTTTAAATCAAAATTTAACCAATAGCATATTCTGTGCATATTATGAAGGCATCGGATGTTTTCGCCAATATTTACTTTGATGTCAACTTCACCATTATTAGTATAAATATAGCATTAATTTACGTGACAATCATCATCTTCCCCTAAATTGAGTTATTGCAAATATTTTGCTTGGAACACTCTGGATTTGTGTTCCTGGTGTTATAAGCTTTCCAAAAATGTATAGTTTTTTTAGTAGGGAGGACCTTGTAGCGGAACTTCACACTATTAAAATAACATGTCAAATCATCGCAATTCAACACTTTATATTTACCTATCAGAGGTTTTAGCTCCTTTAAATAATGAAAGATTTTATTGGACTTGCCACATTGCCTCTTTAACAATGAAATATAAAAAATGTTGGGATGGCAGATAATCTTTTCATGCTATCTTTGCTTAAAAAAAAAAACCTCAGTATTATTAATACATTACAAAATTAACATGTGAAACTATTTATTTTGACTCATTCAAGTGAATATAGGCCTATTTGTGAGTCAATCAGTCCAGTTAGTTTCATGCCAGAAAAAAAACAAGAAAATGATAACTATCCAAGGGAACTAACTCTTAGATCTTTTAAGATTTACATCTGTAGATGCCAGACAAAAAATATAGACTTCAGGATGAGTTTCCCAGTTTGATTTTACAAATATTATTCTTACGATGGAGGTCTTAAATTAAATCTTTTTATTATAAATAAGAATAACAAATATAGATATGTCAAAATAATTAGATTGCATACAATAAATATATCACAATAATTAGTTATACTATATACAAAAACATCCCATAACAAAAAAACCAAAAAAAACAAATCAGCAGTATATATATTTTTATTAATAGAACTAATTAAATAAATTATAATTATATGGACGGAGACAGATCAAGAGTTTTTCCAAGAATACTGATTATAATGCCGATAAAATATGGTCAGAAAATAAAAAAAAAATTCAATTTTGAGTGGAAGAATTGGACATTTCAGCAGCAGTACGGTATATAATTATGTAATATGGATGGATAAAATAAAAAAAAATTAAAAATTTCAGCAGTACTGTATAACAAAATTTAATAGAAATATATGTACGTCTTATTCATACATAGAATTCAGCATAAAACAGTTCAGTTTCATTATAGAGTCGTTTTAATCACATTTAAATTAATATCATATTGTCAGTTCAGCACTCACTTGACGTGATTGGTAGAAAACATTTTTTATTTCCAGATTTCTTTTGAACTGAAAATAACTAAATAATCGAGTCATTGTTAAGTTGTGTTGAGTCATAAATGTGAAAGTGTAGCATAGGTCGTCTTGGAAAGGAATACAGTAGACTCCACATATAACGAACAATCGCTTATAACGGACACAACAGTTTGGTCCTGATTTTTGTAATAGAATTTTCTTATTTTCAAAGTCATTTAATGCGGACACTGTGTAACTGACAATCGTTTATAACAGACGATTTTCATCGGTCCCTGTTAAAGTCCATTTTTATAACGGACTCTCGAATAAGCAGAACAAAATGATGATATTACTGATTTTATTATCGGTGACTGGAATACTTTTCCCAGAAAATATCCATACTGATTTTATGGGAAACATTTTTCTGGGAAAATTTAGCCCAGGAACAACAGCGATTCCACACACACACACGGAAATCCTGAATAAAAACGGAAATTTTGAGATTTCAATTTGTTCAAAAGTAAATTTTAGTCTTCTTCCTCAAGAAAATTTCAAAAGTCTTCTTAATACGTTTTTTGTATAACGGACACCGTTCATAACCGACGATTTCTTCCGGTCCCGAGGTGTCCGTTATATGCGAAGTCGACTTTAAATACAATTTATTCTGAATTTCTATTACAATAAATAGGTTAGATTTATAAGTTAATAATAAATATAATACGAAGTACACACAGTTTCATTAAATATAAATGTTCTTTTTAAATAGTTTGTAAGCAGTCTATCACAGTGATTACATCATACCAACATCAAACCTCTATATGTCTAGGTTAAACCCCATTACATTTCATTTCACCTCTCTATGTCTAAGGAATGTACATGATATATACAACATGCGAGGAAAGTTCATTGATAAGTTTTGCTAGAAGAAATGGTTCATACATACAAATATATATATATATAGACGGAAACTATCATTATATATACCTAACAATAAACAAATCCAATTAAAACTATAAATACAAGTTGAAGAAATAAAACTAATTCACACAGCACTTACATCAATTTTTCCTCTATTACTTGTCAATCATTAACATGTCACAATCTGATCATACAAAAAAATAAAAAACTTCAAAATTCTTTTTTCTTTCATTTTAAATTTTATTATAAATGTATATCTGAAGTAGTCAATTGGGTAAATACTGACCCTGTGACTTGGAATATTCAATTAGCCAATATAGTTTAGTATCTCCCAAATTTACAACTGAACAGGCAATGTAATTGGATAATGTCTATATTAGAAAAAGCTGTCTTGGTTCTTGAGTCGAGCATGGTTATATATGGCGAAACCAAAAAGCATTTGATTTGTTATCTAATCAGATTGCAACATTTCAATTAAATATTAGAATTAAATATTAAACTAATGCCAGACTTCAAAGAATATTTGTTAAACACATATATTTTTATGGAAAAAAAAAAGAAAAAAGTTCAGCACACTCATTTCCGTCCAAATGAGTTTTTTTGGGGTGTCTGGCACAATTCCTTTATTTCCTTATGAGACCGAGTCCTCTACAGATCTTGGTTTTTCTATCTTGTTATTGCTAAACTTCACTATACTTCATTTTTTCTTTGTTTTATGAGCCACAGTAGGCTTAGTTTTTGTATCCACAGTAGGCTTAGTTTTTGTATTAACAGAATGTTTAACATTATTTGAATGTAATTTAGATCCAGTGCTGATCTTGGATGCACCAGTTGAATTTGAACTTCCAGTGGAATGTTTGGTTTTCATCTGTGAAAAGAAAAAAAAGGTTTTAGTAATTCTTATAGAAATAAACATATGAACAAGCAATATTATAAATTCCACATAATAGTACATATTTCCTAAACATTATGAACACCAGCGTGACCAGCCAACATAATTCTTCTTCATAATTAATAGTTTCCATTGATATTGCCAGGGTATCACTTCAATTTTCACCAAGGAAAATTCATCCATATTGCCGTCTATGGTCATGTTTTTACATATGTACAGCAGATTTCATGCAAATCTGTCAATCTTTTGTGGTAAATCATATGATGTGGTTGTACTGTATAATAGGAAATAGGCCAATACAAAACATTCCACTATCAGATATTATTCATCTCGATAATGAGCTCTTTTGGGATATTCAGAGAAAAGTAACAATCGTGTGAATAAGAGAATATGGGGGAACAAACATGTGCTGACCGAACAAAGAATAATATCAACCAACCCAACTACTGTTCTTCTCTGACTGGGCTAATGAAGATGGGCACACGCCATGTAATGTGCCATGTGGGAAATTTTGCCTGGACAGTGGCACTACAGCCTACTCTTATATCAACTGTAACTGTCAAGGGATCTTTTAAGTGTAAGCCAATGTGTACACCAGACCTCGGTTTTCATCCCATCCTAACAGCTATATGTTGACTCTTGCCAGGCTCTCTGTCCTGCACCCCTGACAAATCCCGATGAACTTTCACAGCCAATGCAGGGATCGAACACGGGACCTTCAGGTTCGTGAGCCAATGTCTTCCTCACTGAGCCACCATGGCTCCCATCAACCAACCCACTGAACCATATCAGTCCATTCATCAAGATTATCCCTTTTTAGTTACACGAAATGAAATGAAATGGGGTTTAACGTCCTACTGTTCTGCTCTTATACTGGGCTAATGAAGACGGGCATACGCCATACAGTGTGCTATGAGGGAAATTTTGCCTGGGCAGCGGCACTATCGCCTACTCTTATATCGAATTCCAACTGCCAAGGGATCTTTTACGTGCATTCACGGGACCTCGGTTTTTCATCTCATCCGAAGGACTAGACAGCTGTCCTTGTCAGGCCCTCCGTTCTGCACCACTGACAAGGGGAAACCACGTCGGGAAATCAGGATGAACTTTCTCGGCCAATGCAGGGATCGAACACCCGACCTCCAGGCTAGTGAGCCAGCGTCTTAACCACCTAGCCACCGTGGCTCCCCTTTTAGTTACACAATCTGATTAAAAAAAAAAACAGATTTATATTTCATTTCTTTTTTTTTTTCATACTTTTGATGGCCTCCACCACTGTAGCAGCACTACATGAAGATCAGACTGATTGTAGTGAAAGGTCACGTCAGGGGTCACACAAGTGGCTTTTGACCCTATGAGGTCAAACATTTGATTACCCAATCAGGGTTGATGTTTCTGGTGGGAAACCCGCACACCAAGAACTCGTCGCAACATACCGTTTCATTGGCGAATCCCTCACATCAACCAGAAAATGGATTATATAACAACTCTTCCAGATCCTAGTATAGTGTAGTAAAGACTAGTAAAATGAAATTTAGAACTATAAAAAATGGAACGAGAGAGAGAGAGAAATGGGGTTTAACGTCCACTCGACAAAAATTAGGTCATTTCGGGACTAACATATGGTTTTAATTCTATTTCAATAATTCGCTTGCGCGTAGGGTTCTTTAGCAGTGGGAGGAAACCGGAGGATCCAGAGAAAACCCACGAGATTGAACAGGCGACCCTACTCCTTGTCACGGACAACCGGTGATTCGAAACCACACCAGTTGACTCAATGACAGGCCTTATGATACAGCGCGCACGTGCTAACCATTCGGCCATCCAACCCCCCAGAATGGAACGAAATAGGATCTGTTTTTTTAATCAGATTGTTACAGGCCACGAAATTTCAAATTTTGGCGTAACCAGAAAAATGGTTATGGGTTTATGCTCTGCGTAACCATTTTCATTGGTTACGCCAGATGACCATTGCGTAACCAATTTGTTACATGAAATGGTTGCGCTATTTTCATGTTTTATCCAGATTTAAATGGTGCTATTATTCATTTCCACTAGCAGTGAATGTATTTTTTAAAGAAATAACATGACTAATTTATATTAATTTATATTCTTTTATATGTAATATTATATTTTGAGGTTAAGTGTTTATGACTTTAATCAAGGTTCTGATGCTGAGGGGAATCGGTTCCAAAAATTACTAATGGATTTTTATTTTTATATCATATCTGACCTTCAAAAACCAGGAATGGTAGCTACAGACGTACTTTATATTATACTTGTCATTTGTAATCATTCTTCCAAGCACGTAGACGTAGCATGAGATAGCCTCACTCAAAGGTAGCGACTGATTGACAAACAGTATTTATTAACCTCGGCACTCTATACACAAAGTCTCAAAAGGAAACAGAATAGTTTGATGTCATGAAATAATATTAAAATTGACAGGACAGTACAATCGTTTACATTATCCTTCGAGCGATGCCGGAGGGGATCAAAGTTGACGATATACATACGGGTCATTGGTACTACCGTGGCTATAGTTAAAAAAGATATGGAAACATGTAGTAAATTCTTTGGCTATATACAGCTGGCATGTTAAATAGTCAAACGCATTTCTCATTTTGTGTTTGAAAATCCAAAGGTACACTTTCAAATATTTATGGCATAACTAATCATTTAAAGAATAAAGGTGGGGGGCATTTTTAAAACAACCTGCTTGCAACTGGTCAATAGCCTTCGGCGTTAAAATACGTGATCTGTCAAAGTACCTGTCAAAGTACCGGTCAGATGGAGAAATGAAATGAATGAATGAATGGAGTTTGTGCTATAATACAAATAATTTAGACCTGAGTCACAAAGTCATCCTGTATAAAAATTGATCAAACGTGAATAAATTTGTTAATGAAATTTGTTAACGTAACCAATATTTCAATTTGCATAACCAGGAAATCGGTTGCATAGTTTTGAGCTGGCGTGACCGCACGTAACCGATTGGTATCGTTCGCGTAAAATTTCGTGGCCTGTTGTTAGTTACATTTATAGCATTACAGTAATTTCTTTTTTGAAACTAGGCATGCAACCATACTACTTGCAACCGACAACCTTTGGGTCAAAACGTAGCCTTGTTGAAAAGGAACAAAAAGACCAAATAGTTATGACCATTCACCCACTCACAAATCCCCAACTTACTGAAGTATTTGTAGATGAAGAAGAAGCTAAAGTAGAAGATGCCTTTTTGACACCTGATCCTTTACGATTTGTTGTATCCTATAAGCAGACAAAGAAAATCATTTTTATTGCAAACAAGCTTAACTATTTACAATGCTTTAATATTTTTTTCCTATAAAAATCTTATTTTGATTTCATCGATTTCTAAAAGTTTATGTTTTCTATTTTAATTAAAATAACAGTATTTTGCCCTGATGACCTTATTTCTTTGGAGAATAAATGGTTCAGGAGAACCTCAAATACAAGTTTGAGAGAATACTCTTTGAAACATTGCCCAAATATACCAATAGCTGTTATAGTTTATCGCTCTATCCAGTTATTAAATGCCTCTAAAAGATGACATGGAAATAAGTTAGGTGTTAAATACGTTATTATCTCCCTTTGGCACATCTCATAAGTTAGCTCTAGGTAAATGACAGACATACTAATTTATTGTGCCACTAAAATTTTTAAATCAATGAAGGAATCTAAACTAAGGGAGTACCGCATGATTGTAAATATGACAGAATCTTTATTAAGGGAGTACCTCATGATCGTAAATATCAATAGCAGAGAGTGACCTGTACCTGGAAATTACCACTGGTAATATGTGGGGGTGATATTGGTTACTTCTGGTAGTAATATACATAATGTTATTCATTATATTGACACTGTTGAAATTCTTACTTTAGTTTGAGATGAACTTGTGCCATTTTCAGTTACATCTTCATCATTGTGTTCACTGTCCAATTTAACTTCAATCCCACCATTGACTAAATTATCTGTGGTATCCTCCTCTTCACGGAACATTCGCATCATTTCAAGAACATTCGTTGGACGTGAATTGTCATGTGATTCTCCCTGGAAAACACAAAATATCTTTAACATGTAACATTGTTTTGAAGAAAAATGTTGCCATTAAGATATGTGAATGAGATTCTTTTGTTTTTAAACACATGAAAAGGGATTATCCAAAATGTAAAGCCAATAATTGCCTTCAGAATAACAGTAATTTTTCTAGAATTACAATTAGGACTGGGAGCAGATATACATTTTTTCTACCTCCATGAAATCATATTATCTAGAAACTAAATTAAAGATTTTCCAGGATGGTTGCCCCTTGTCAGTGATGCAGGACAGAGAGCCTTGCAAGGAGCAGTATCTAGTACTACTAGTAGGTTGGATGGCGTGGAAAACCAAGGTCCCCGGTAGATGTTGATGTGCACGTAAAAGAACACTTGCCAACTGGACTTTGAAATAAAGAGTAATCCGTAGTGCCTGTCTCGGCCAATTTATATTATAGCACATAGCACAGTTTGTGCGTAACAGTAAAACCCAATTCCTTTCATTTTCTTTTCAGAGTTAACGATTGAATTTACCGTTATCCAGGAATGATCAAGAACTTCACCAGCAGTTATTCTGTGAGCAGGATCACAACGTAACATTCTCTCTATACAGTTCTTTGCTAAAATATACATAAAACAAGTGGTTGCCATACAAGATACGCCCATATTTTGCAAGAGATGGACAGAGAACAAGCTAAAAAAAAAAAATATATAAAAAAAATTGATTTTTCGTACAATTGGGGGCAATAATCAAGGATGTTACAGTCCGACATGCATCAATATCAATAGGAGCCGGATCTTTCTTTGTGATAAAAACATAAATTTTACGTTTCATCAAAATCAGATAAAAATGGCGATCTCTAGAGGGTCAACACTCCACAATCTTGGTACTACATGCTTATTATATTATCATAGATAATTTTCCATCAGAGAGTAAAACAGATTCCTTTCTCAAAACAAAACAAGAGCATCGCTAACACTGCAAAAAATGTCCACATTTCCACTTTGATTGATATGGTACTTTTTAAATATGAATGAAATATGAAATGGCTGCAATGACTGCAATATGACAAGAGGCAAAGAAGGTTAGGGGTGTTGGGTTTATTTTGCTAAATTTACAGACTAAATATTAACAAAAACGTGGGTGTGACACCGCCCAAGGGGGTCGGAGCCTGCACCAAAATAAATAGTTGCTGTCTTTACGGTATAAGGAATAAATCTGCAAAATTCAAAGATGATCCATTCAGAATTGCAGTCTGTAGACAATAAATACAAAAATTGGGTGTGGCTCTGCCCCTGGGGGGATCGATACGGAACAATATAAATTGGTACCACCCTCTTATTGAAATGATTAATATGTTGAATTTGAGCAAAATCTGTTAATTATTGCAACCTGTAGAGTATTTACAGATAAAAATTAACAAAAAAAATAAATAATTGCTATCCTTACAGTATAAGGAATAAATATGCCAAGTTCAAAGATGATCCAAGTTGGACATGGAGTCTTGGACCATTATAAATAGGTTCAACCCTATGCTGGATCATTCTGAATTGGATCCAAATCTGTTAATAATTGCAAGCTGTATATCATTTACAGACAGAATATCAACAAAAAGTGGGCGTGGCACCGCCCGAAGGGCGAGTAAGTGGGTTGGGGATCATGCACCAACATCAATAGTTGTTGTCCTTAGGGTACAAGGAGTAAGTATACCAAGTTCCAAGATAAACCATTCAGAATTGTGCCTGGCTCTGCCCCTGGGGGTTGGGGCATGCACCAAAATCAATAGTTGCCATCCTTAGGCTATAAGCAATACATATGCCAAGCGGCCTATTTCTTCACAACTTTCAAAAACTTGAGGACAATGTATTATTATGTCAAAATTAGTTTGTAATATGAGCAGTTGCCGTGAAATAGGAAATTTTGCACGATCACTTTTCACATTATTTTGCATTTAAAGGAGTCAATTATCATTCAATTTTCAATTTTTTCACCACTTGATGCCTAATGCCACTTTTGACTAGGTTAATCCAATTTAATATTTTCACTGTCGCCGGATTAAATGACGTCATTTGGGCAAAAACTGTATTTTTAGCCTTCAAAACAGGTATATTATTCAAATGAGTCTGATTTGTAATGTTTTTAAAATTATATTTGATTCCAATCAACAAATAGGATACCTAACTTGTACAGTTGCAGAGAAATAGACGACTTTCTACAAGTCACTTTTCGAGGTTTTTGGTCTATAAAAGTGTCAATTATTATTCGATTTTCATAAAATTTTCACAGGAAGTAATGTCATTTTGGCAAAAACTGTATTCTTAGCCTTTAAAACAAATATGTGTCTACTATACTCCCGACCCGTACTTTTTATCAAATTCATGCCAGTAATAATCCTCCCAAATTAACATATTTTTCGGGGTCTAGGTCGACACTTTTTTCAGGAGAAGTCCGGCATTCGTTTTATAAATTTTTTGGCAGTAAGTGACACTCCATGATACAGAGCGAGTGACATCATCTGCTAAATAATAGTGCTCAACTATTAACTACTTACACTACAATCAAATTCGGAATATTTGTCGACATTTCTCAGCTTGTTTATTTCTTTTTTTGAAAACATAAACCCCATTCAAAATATTATCATAAACCCGAGAATATGCATCAAAATAGAATCTTTTCTCTGACATTTTCCATGAGATAACTGTCACGTTTACATCTCTCGTAATTTCACTCGTCTCACAAGATTTCTACTTTTGTTTTCGGCTATTGTATTATAACCAGGTGAACGTGTGTGTGTATGTGTGTGTGGTGTGTTTGACAAGTTAACAGATATAATAGGATATGTGACATATATGACTAGTTTCTAGATGTTGCCGACTGATATCAAGGAGATTAAAATGTCAGAAAATGGAGAAACCCCAAGTTAATCTCATGTAGATTAAGTTTATCATCACTCTTGAGTCTTATTGGATTGATACATAGTCCGACAAAGGAGAAGCAATGACATCTGTTCAGGATTGCATTGATGAATTGTCCGACAAAGGATTAAGTCAGTCAGTCAAGGCAGGTTAAGTAGTTAATTAAGGTAGGTGTATAGACAGTATATCACACGGTAAATACGTTGATTTCTTAATTATTTAATCAATCCAGCCTATTATCAACGATAATTGGGTTGATTGATATATATACACTCAGTATGATCAAAAGTAATCACCTTTTCAATAAAAATGTAAACTTGCTAAATTCAACTTTGTTCTTTGTCATTATAGGTCATTAGATGAAATATTTCCATTTTAGCACTAGGAGGATTTAAAGCAATAAATGTCAGCGTAAAATATAAAAACTAAAGCGAAACCTGTTCTAAATAATAATAGGAACATTTAAAATGTATCTTTAGGTGGTCTTAGCACCAAACTTTTATTTTGGAACGTCGAAAAAGGTCTTGCATAACAGAACCAAAACACTTCAAAACCTGTTTCAAAAATACGTAAAAACTGTCAAATCAAAATCTCTCCGAATTAGTTTTACAACGAATGCTATACATAATGATAGTTTCATGGCTGGATCAAATTGTGACCTCTAGAGGGTCCACAACCTTGATATACCATATTTTTACACTCTTTGCGTAGGAGGGGCGGCCATTTTGTCCGGCAATTTTGGTCCGGTTTTCGCAAAATTCAAACTGAACTGACATTACACTGTAACGGTGATATATTCGAACGTTTTTTTAGATCTGATAATAATTGTGACCTCCAGAGGGACCACAAGCTAAAATTATGGTTTTTAGTACAATCTGGGGCCATAATTCAGGAAATTACGATCTGATATGTACGAATATCAAAAGGAACCTGCATTTCAAGTTTCAGCAAAATCAGATGAAAAGTGTGAACTTTAGAGTGTCCACATGGTAAATACGTCATTTTTTCATACAATGAGGGGCCATAATCCATGAAGTTATTGTCCGATAGTTGCCAATAACGAAAGGAACCAGGATCTTTGGAAGATAGACCTATATTTCAAATTTCGTCAAAATCAGATAAAAATTGTGACCTGTAGCGTGTCCACAAACAAATTGTGGACGGACATCCAGACAGGGGCAATGGCATATATAGTACGTCCACAAGAAAATGTGGACATATAAAAACTAAATGTATCACAGAATTAAAGAATACAATATATCTAATTCATTTCATTATACATCTTGGCAACTGTAATATTACAAAACATGCTTTTTTTTAATACCTTCGCCTGATATGTCCTTCCATGCAGATTCTTCAAACTTTACTTCTGCTTTCTTGATCATTTCATATAACCCTTCTTCATCTGCTGCATTAAACGGTGGACAACCACATAATCTATAATAACAGTAACAAGCCGAAAGTGAGGCTGATATCCCCCGTCGAAATCCCAAAATAAATAGATGACACATATTAATTAATTGCACATGAACTTTTTCAAAAGTATCGTGCAATCAAACTGATTATCAACTATACACTAAGTTTCATCACTCTCTATCGGGGAGCCACGTTGGCTAAGTGGGTAAGACGCTGGCTCGCTAGCCTGGAGGTCGGATGTTTGATCGAGAAAGTTCATCCAGATTTTCCGGCATGGTTCCCCCTTGTCAGTGATGCAGGACGGGAGAGAGAGAGAGAAATGGGGTTTAACGTCCACTCAACACAAACTAGGTCATTTCGGGACACATGGTTCAATTTTATTTCAATAATTCGCTTGCGCGTAGGGGTCTTTAGCAGTGGGAGGAAACCGGAAGGCCCGGGGAGAAAACCCATGGGGTTGGACAGGCGACCCTACTCCTTGTCACGTACAACCGGGGAATCGAAACCCAGTCAGTTGACTCAGTGACAAACCGTATGTTACAGCGCGCTCGTGCTAACCATTTGGCCATCCAACCCCCCTGCGATGCAGGACGGAGGGCCTGACAAGGACAGCTGTCTAGTCGTTCAGATTGGACAAAAAACCAAGGTCCCATGTACACATTGGCGTGCACGTAAATAATCCCTTGACAATTGTAATTAGATATAAGAGTAGGCTGTAGTGCCGCTGTCAGGGCAAAATTTCACTCATAGCACACTGTATGGCGTATGACCGTCTTCATTTGCCCAATTCGGAGCAAAACAGTAGGACGTTAAACCCCATTTCATTTCATTTCTCTCTATCAGACAGAATCAAAGTCAAAGAAATTGCTTAGCTTTCGCGGGAAATATTAATCATTGAACTCAGTCAAGACATTCACCTAATGAACATCTAAATCAAGTTTAAACATTCTATCTGATTTAAAAGCAGAGTTGTTATGTACCAAAGTCTTGACCAATCAAATTGCTTATCGCTTCTTAGCCTAAGAAGAAAATTCTCATCATCAAACGAGTTTCATCACTCTCACTTAATTATAACCAAAGTCAGACAGACAGACAGGCACACTTTAATAAGACCCATTTTAATAGTCCCCTGCTTTTTTCGAAAGGCGAGGGACAATAAGAAGAATATACCCGCGGCTTCCAGGCAGGATACGCCCACATTTTGCAAGAGATGGATAGAGAACAAGATAAAAACGTGATTTTTCAATTCAGGAAGTTATGATCCGATATGCGCAAATATGGAAAGCAACCAAGATCTTTGGGTTATAAACATGCATTTCAAGTTTCATCAAAATCGGATCAATATTGTGACATCTAGAGGGTCCACAACCTTGATATACTAGATGTTTACACTATTTGCGTAGGGGGGGGGGGATTTTGTCTGGCAGTTTTCGTCCGATTTTCACAAAATTCGAACTCGACCAACATTACGGTGTAACGGTGATATATTAGAACAGTTCTTTAAATCAGATAATAATTGTGACCTCTAGAGGAACCACAAGCTTAAAAATGCGATTTTTCGTACAAGGGGACATAATTCAGGGTGTATATTCAAATTTTTTTTTTTTTTCAATCAGATAAATATTCTGGGCTCTAGAGGGACTACAAACGAAAAACATGATCTTTTGTACAATCAGCGGCCATAATTCAGGAGGATATAATCTGATATGCATGAATATCGAAAGCAACCAAGATCTTTGGGTTATAGACATGCATTTCAAGTTTCATCAAAATCGGATCAAAATTGTGTCCTCTACAGGGTCCACAACCGTAATATACCATATTTTTACACAAGCGGCGGCCATTTTGTCCGGCAGTTTTGATCCGATTTTCACGAACTTCGAAGTCAGCCTTCATTACGGTGTAATGGTGATATAATCAAACGGTTTTTAAAATCAGATAATAATTGTGACCTCCAGAGGGACCACAAGTTAAAAAAGGCGATTTTTCGTATAATCAGGTGCCATAATTCAGGAAGTTACGATCAGATATGCGCAAATATCGAAAGGATTCAAGATCTTTGGGCTATAAACATGCATTTCAATTTTCATCAAAATAGGATTAAAATTGTGACTTCTACAGGGTCCACAACATTGATATATTATATTTTTACACTATTCGCGTACAAGCGGCCATTTTGTCCGGTAATTTTGGTCCAATATTCACAAAATTCGAATTCAACCTTCATTACGGTGTAACGGTGATATAATCAAACATTTTTTTTTAAATTGGGGGTGACGACAATATACGACCACATTTCAATGTGGGCGTATAAAAATGGTGTAATTATCCAAGTGATTGCTATCGGTAATTTAAACAAGATGTTTCACTCATTGTAACCAGCAGCTGCCAGGCAGGATACGCCCACATTTTGCAAGAGATGGATAGAGAACAAGCTAAACAAAGATAGATTGCCAGGCAACGAAACATACGCCCACAGCATATTTTTACTTTTTTCGGTAATGAAACATTTATAATACATAAAAATCTGATAAAGGGTAACAACTCATTAAGTAATTATCAGAAAACCATTAGAATTTGTTTGGTTTTTATAAAGTTCTGCCCCATGCTAACGTTTAGTATACAAAACTTTTAACATCATGGATTTAGCTGTTCAAGTCATAAAGATTCATTGAAAATCGATATACTTGTTCATCGAAAGACCTTAAACTCTGTATCAATCTGAAGTCAATCGGATGATAACTATAGCCTCTAGTTCATCACAAGATTTTTCAAAGTGATCAAGGGTCATAACTTTGGCAGTAATTATCCGAAATCGTTGAAAATAAATATGATTCTTCATCTCACGGTCTCAAACACTGTGTATATATTTAAAGTCAATTGCATATTAACTTTAGATTCTAGAGCGTTCACAAGATTTTCAAAGTGATCAAGGGCCATAACTCTGGCAGTAATTATCGGAAATCCCTAAAAAGCAATAGGCTTTTTCGTCTCGTGACCTCAAACACTGTGTATAAATTTAAAGTCAATCGGATATTAACTTTAGCCTATAGAGCGTCCACAAGTAATTGTGGACGCCGGACCGACAGACGGAGGCGACAACAATATACGACCACATTTCAATGTGGGCGTATGAAAAGCGATTTTTCGTACAATCAGGGACCATAATTCAGGAAGTTACGATCTGATATGCGCAAATATCGAAAGGAACCAAAATCTATGGGTTATAAATATATATTTTAAGTTTCATCAAAATCAGAAGAAAATTGTGACCTCTAGATATATACCTTATTTTTACGCTATTTGAGAACGAGAGATGGCCATTTTGTCTGTCAGTTTTGGGCTGATTTTCACAAAATTCGAACTCAACCATCCTTAGGGTGTAACGGTGATATACTAAAACGTTTTTTTAAATCGGATATAAATTATGACCTCTATAGGGACCAGAAGCTAAAAATGCGATTTTTCATACAACCAGGGGCCATAATTCAGGAAGTTACGTTCTGATATGCGCGAATATCGAAAGAACCAAGATCTTTGTGTTATAAACTTACATTTCAAGTTTCAACAAAATCGGATAAAAATTGTGACCTCTAAAGGGTCGACAAGCTAAAAAACGTGATTTTTGATTTTTCGTACAATCGGGGGCCATAATCCATGAAGTTTCGGTCCAATACATGCCAATATCGAAAGCAACCAAGATCTTTTGGAGATAAACCTATATTCCAAGTTTCGTCAAAAATCGGATAAAAATTGTGACCTGTAGAGTGTCCACATACAATTGTGGATGGATGGACAGGGGCAACGGCAATATACGTCCACATGAAAATGTGGGCGTATAAAAATACATTAGAGTAAATAAATCAATATTTTAGTTTGTTTTATTGCTAACATTAGTGTACTTACAACATATACATAATAACACCCATAGCCCATACATCACACATCTGACTATATGTTTTATTATCTATTATTTCTGGTGCTAAAATAAAAGAGATGAAATAAAATACATGTCATTGCTTAGAAATGTTATAATTATTTTGTTTGTCTTTGTATTTAAACATTTAACACAAATTCATAATTTTTTTCGAAAAAACAGACTGACTAACAAGTATCAGCAAAGTCATTAGAATTGGCTCTAAATTCCTGCAAAACAAATTTTTAAAATTTGACAGGATTCATTATTGTGCTTCAAGGATAAAACACACTAACGTCTGTTCAGAAATTTGTCCTGTATAGAGATCACAAGATTTCAATAATTAAAATGTAAATGGTGAAAAAATTCTGCAATATACATTTGGAAATTTCTGAATATCAATAGAGTTCTTCCTTAGGATCAAATGAACAATCTCTGTATCGTGTTCACAAGCTATGAAAATCAAAATATCACTGCCAAGATAACTGAAAAAAGCTTTCAAAATTTGGAAATTTGATAGTGTTATTCCTTATACCATAATGAACAATCTATTTAAATTTCGAGTTTCCCTAATATAAGGCCCAATGAAGCATCTCTGTAAATATGAATTAAATCCAACTAGTACTTTGACAAACAACCAATGAATGTAAAAGATCTTAAAGTCTAATAGTCTGGAGGCTCAGTGAGGGGGTCCGTCCATCAAATGGGCACAAAACCAGACCCAACTTTTCTAGAGTAAAATTTTGCGTAGAATGCAATGCTGAGTGGTAATCAGTCCGCAGTTGGGGCGTTTTTGAGATATTCAAGGTCAAAGGTCAAATGAGTTCATTTGCACTGAAAGAATGCGCAGTCATTCTTGTATTATGAAAAGAACCTGAAAATGATCGAAAGTAATCACACTTTCAATAAAAATGTAAACTTGCTGAATTCACCTTTAGTCTTAGTGACCCTGGAGGTCAAAAGGTGAAATTTACCGTTTTTGCACTAGGAAGATTTAAAGCAATAAAATGTCAACGTAAAATATAAAAACTAAAGCGAAACCTGTTCTAAATAAAATAAAAATATTCGTCAACATTTCTTAGCGTGTTTATTTATTTACTTAAAAACATAAACCCCGCTCAAAATATGATCATAAATCCGACAATATGCCATCAAAATAGAATCTTTTCTCCCAATATTATATAGATTCGGCATGTTTACACCTCTTAATTTCACGTGTCTCGCAAGATTTCTACTTTCATTTTGCGTGTGTGTGAAATAGCTTTATTTAACTTCGGCTTCCACTGAAGAAATATCACAGACAAGTTATCGGACACAATGTATATTGATTTGGGGTGTTATATACTATTAGGATATGTGACATATATGACTAATGTCTATGGCCGACAAGAAGGGGATTAAAACGTGAGACATTGGAGAAATCACAGGTTAATCACATAGATTAAGTTTATTGGATTGACATATAGTCCGACAAAGGAGAAGGCAGAAGCAATGACTTCTGTTCAGGATTGAATTGATGAATTGTCCGACAAAGAATTAAGTCAGCCAATCAGGGCAGATTAAGTAGTTAATCAAGGTAGGTGTATAGACGGTATAAAACGATAAATACGTTGATCACTTAATTACCTAATCAATTCAGCCTATTATCAACGATAATCGGGTTGAGTGATAGTTATACACTCAGTACACTATATTAAGTTTGGAATTTTGAATATTATTTACCATGTCTTGATGTCCGATTGGGCATATTCCTGGTCGGATAATTTAAGACGTTTGGAAAATAGCGTCGGACATGTCCGGAATATACGGGCAAAATCCCATCACTGGTCCACAACCTTAATATACCATATATTTACACTATCTGCGTAAAAGTTTTGGTCGGATTTTCACGAAATTCGAACTCAGCTATCATTAGGGTGTAACAGTGATATATTCAAACGTTTTTTTTCTTTTCAATCAGATAAAAATTCTGGCCTCTGGAGGGACTACAAACTAAAAACGTGATTTTTCGTACAATCAGAGGCCATAATTCAGGAGGATATGATCCAATATGCGCGAATATCGAAAGGAACCAAGATCTTTGGGAAATAAACATGCATTCCAGGTTTCATCAAAATTGGATGAAAATTGTGACCTCTAGAGGGTCCACAACCTTGATAGACCATATTTTACACTACAGTGGACTCTGTGACATCCGATCTCTGATCACTCCTGATTGCTGTGACTTCCGACATGATTTTCATGTCCCGATTTATTTCCCTATTACTTCAGCCCAAAAATCGCTGGTAAGTCCGAATTCTGTATGTTCCGGATTCTGATATCAATCAGCCGTCCTGTCACATAATTTATATTGAATCGACACCGGTGGGTGCGAAGCATCCAATTATCAGTGAGATTAAAACTCAATGGGTGTGAAGCCAGAAAAGATTAACAAGCAATCACCAATCAATTATCAGTGAGATTAAAACTCGCAAGCGCCGGTCTGTGTTGATTACTTTGATAATGTTATAAATTCTTTGTTGATTATTTTACAATTTATAATCTCTTGTAAGAGTGCGCTTGGTATTTGATTTTAGTTACTCATGTCAAATACCGCGACATTATATAAAAATTGCCACGATTGAACGTCCTGCAAAGCGTGCCCGAACAGATTTGACATTAGATGTAAAGCGGCAACTTATAGCAGATTTCGAGAAAGTTCCACGACCTGCGCAGAAGGATTTAGCCGTTAAGTATTAAATTGGCCGAGCTACAGTGTCAAACATATTAAAGCGTAAGATGAATTTAAACAGAAATTTGCCGATAATTTAAACTGCAGTAAGAAACGATTTTACACCAACTCAAAATTTGAAGACGTCAGCACAATGACACATTGTGATCGGTAAAGCAGAGAACACGAGATGTTTTAAGGGAGTGGACTAGATCAACCTGCCAGTCAATTGGTCGGCCAATCGCAAAGCATGGATGACAGGTGCCATTTACTCTGATTGGCTTGAAAAACTCAATCGGGGACGATGAAGAATATACATTAACGACAGACTTGACCTATTCAAAATGCCTACGCATGCTCAACGACATTAAACACTTCGCACAGATTAAGGACAAAAAGATGATCACAATAATTCATTTGTTAGAAGATGTTGTCCAGGACTCCGCCTTACGATATGATTCCGGTAATCTTAAGCAAACTACTTTAAACGATTACATGCATTGATATTTATAAATATATTGTACGCATGCATTGATATTACATGTAAATGGTTTTATGAATATATTGTACACATGCATTGTTATTGTTAATTATTTAATGTAATAAAATTTTGAAAGTACAGAAAAGTTTATCATTTATAAAAGGAATAGCATTCTGGTGATTCAAAGCTACAATATAAAAATACTTCCGGTTTTCGAAGTTACATTAATTCCGGTTTTGGAGAAAGCTCGGTATTCCGAAACGCTGTGTGATCAGAATTATTGTAACGATCCCGTACGATGTCGGATGTGACAGAGTCCACTGTACAAGGAGCGGTCATTTTGTCCGGCAATCATGGTCCGATTTTCACGAAATTCAAACTCAACCATCAATAGGGTGTAACGGTGATATACTAAAAGGGTTTTTTTTTAAATCGGATAAAAATTGTGATCTCTAAAGGGACCACAAGCTAAAAACATGATTTTTTGGTACAATCAGGAGCCATAATCCATGAAGTTATGGTCCGATACATGCCAATATCGAAAGGAACCAAGATCTTTGGGATATAGACCTATATTTCAAGTTTCGTCAAAATCGGATAAAAATTGTGACCTGTAGAGTGTCCACAAACAAATTGTGGACGGACGGACTGATGGACAGGGGCGACAACAGTATACGTCCACATGAAAATGTGGGCATATAAAAAGATATCTTGAACAGTTTATGATATATGTTCCGGAAAGAAAATACAAACAATGGACAGACGGGACACATTTCAATGTCCCTCCCTAGCTTCGTTTGGCGCGGGATAATAAGCACTAACCCATATAAATAGGAGTACCACAGACATCCTGCATCATATTATCATGTCCAACACCATCTTTAACTACAGATAAACCAAAATCTGTAACCTAGAATATAAATTACATAATGAATCACTAATGCTGTAATATATTGTCTATGCTTTCTTTACAAATATAAAATTTGATATGACTATAAAGAGTACAAATATTGATTAATTAATGATTGATAAATATGAAGTTTATTATAATTAATTAAATTTTAAGAAAAACTCTGGTCAATAGAAAAGTCAATTAATGTTTTTTTCTTAGTTATATTTTACAATCTAACAGACGAATAATGAAATTTGTCTATGTTCTCTGTGTTGTCGTAAAATAAAATTGTGGTAGGCCTACTTTTGTTGTGTGTATTGTTTTAAGGTTGGAGAATATATATCATTAAAGTTATTCCTTGAAAGAGACATGACATATATATATATATATATATATATCCAGACAATAATGTATGTGACCCGTGCTGGCAAAATGAGGCGGAATGCACCAAGGCTAATAATCGAGCTACAGACAAATTGAGATTTCATCACAAAAATTGGTCCATAAATTTACTATCTATTAATATCTATTAAAATATTTTAAAACATCTTTATTTGGATGTTTCTTAAAAGTTCTGTATTCACAAATCTTTCTCTTTATTTCTTAAAATTCTCAGCGAAATTGGTAATTGTATACGCAAATCATTATTTTAATTCAGTCGTGTGATGAAGTGAAAAGAACACATGCTAATTAATTGATGAGATTAACAGAAGTTACTCTCACCAAAGTTATAATATACACCACATAGATTACTAATGTATGGACTATTCTCATTTGTTCTAAATTACAACACTATATGCTGCATGTTTTGTTACGAAAAGAGTGCAATGCATGAGTTAACATTTTGGCAGAAATTGTTGGATCAAATTTTTACTACTATTTTGGCCTTCAGCACCCCTGAAAATCTATAGAAAGAACTATTAAACAACAAAATAGCAAATAAATGGCATGGTTTTGTGATTTTGTTTTGGACCATACCAACATCTTAAACTTGCTTTTTCTCAAAACGTACTTTCCTGACTTGGGCAGCTTCAAATGGACACAGGTCATTCAATTTTTGCCCAATTCAAACCAACCATACACCATAACTAAATTTTCAAAACTGTCTCATGGCGACTCATTCTGCTAGCAAGAGTCACAAATAGTTTTAGTACATGATATTTTAGGACAGTGATAAATCTTCTCTTTGACAAATTAACAGAGCTCATGCCGTCGATCGTCAAAGTCGAAATTTGCGATAAAAAACTAAAAGTGGCGATTAAAATTTTGGTGATAACATTTTGGGGTACTGCGATTCTTTTTGAGAAGGGGCGGAGAAACATCTTAAAATTTTAATCGCATTCATCCTGGATTGACCATTGGGTTGAGTGTCAATCACAATCACGTGGCAGAATACTATAAATTAACCAACTAGCTGATAATCCAGATTGAGCCAATGATATGAGTAATTATACTAATCAGTTATCTTGGTGCATTACGCACATGCGTAGATAAGGCACGGGGCGAGTTTGGCAAAGGTATTTCAGGAAAAAACAAGTCAATTATTAATCATTGAACACAGTCTAGACATTCGCCTAATAAGCATCTATACCTCAATAAAAAGCAGAATTGTTATGTTCCAAAGTCTTGACCAATCAAATTGCTTATCGCTACCTAGCCTAAGCAGAAAATTCTCATCATGGAACTTAGTCAATGTATTGATATAATTAATCTATACTGAGAGTTTCATCGCTCTCACCCAAAGTTATCATGTCCCAAAGCATCAACCAATCAAATTGCTCATCTCTGCTTACCCTTAGCAGAAAATGGTCATCTTTCATCTTTGAACTCCATCAAGGCACTGACCCAATCAACGCCTACACCAAGTTTGAACATTTTACCTCAATTCGAATGAGAGTTATTGTGTTCTAAAGTCTCGACCAATCAAATTGCTTATTGCTTTGCTTACCCGGAGGAGAAAATGCTCATTATCGATCTTAGTCAAGGTATTGATGTAATTATACACCAAATTTCATCACTCTCACTTAACTAGAACTAAAGTTATCGTGTCCCTAAGCATCAACCAATCAAATTAAATATCTCTCCTTACCATAAGCAGAAAATGCTCATCTTCGAACTCCATCAAGGCACTGACCTAATAAACATTCTAGCTCAATTAGAAGGAAAGTTATTGTGTCCCAAAAAGTGTGAGGAACAGACAGACAGACCCATTTTAATAGTCCCCTGCTTTCTTCGAAAGTCGGGGGACAATAAAAGTGCACGGTTTAGGCGCACCCTTCTCCAGCACATTGTGAAACACGTGCCATACCATGCCATACTATACGTGACTCAAATCCACCTGCGATTTCCAGTAACTGGGCCAAACTCTACTGTTTACAGTTATAATAATTACTGATATTTAGCCGTATCAAGCCTTATGATATATTTCTTTAAGAAATAAAAAACTCTATATGGGTCATTCTACAAAAAATTAACTCTCCTTTCATGTCATGTCCCTTTTGATGTGAACATCAGAAACTGGTATAATTTAATCTGTTGTTTTTTTGCTTCCACAGCATCATCCAACATATAAATAAACATCCTGGAATCTATGCACTGAAATTTTGTAAAAATTTTCAATGTAAAATGTGAAAGAAGAGAACAAAATAGAAGCAGCGGATTACGGAAATTCGATCACAAATATTTAGAACAGTGTTCTTTATATCATGTACTGTATTTAGTTAATTGTCGAAATTATGCAAATATTCAGGATTATAACAATATCGATAACATCCTCCATAGGGAAACATAAAATATGAATTTTTATATTCGTTTTCTTGTCACGAAAATCTTCGCGATTTAATTGAAAACGTCAGATAGCCAAAGGGAGATAACTCCTGTTTTACTTTTTTTAAGCGTGAAAGTGAGCCCACTTGATTTGACATCAGCAACGACGACGAGAAACTACAATTACCACAACCACGTATAGAAGATGAAGACATTATTTCTATATCTTTAATTTGCATTAGTCTGTGTATTTTGTTAATTCCTAGCCTGTGGTGACCGCACATATATAATGTCAAAAGTTATGGAAGCACAGCATGGCAAAATATTATGCCATTGCCACGATAGTCATTACCGCGACTTCATCTATCGCGGTAATGATTTCTATTTCGTAGTAGTGACGGGTTGCTGTAATGTGACATTACCTTTAATAGTTTTATAAAAATATTTCATCAATAGGTGTATTTACCCTGTTGTCTCAGGCAAATTAATTCTTATATTTTCATTTCAGAATGCCACCAACATCAAAATATGGCAAATACCGAGAAAGATTAAAAAGAGATCCAGAGAAGTATGAAAGATATTTACAAAAAGAGAGAGAACGATCCCAGAAGAGAAAAGAAGCTAGAAAATTAAAAGCAATTGATGACCAGAAGTCACGGGAACAGCGTTCCCAAAGAAAGAAATGGAAAGTGGCAAGCAAAAAATATCGAGAAAGGAATAAAAGAGCCAAAGTATGGCTAAACTTTTTTTCAAAATCACACACCTCCACTTTCACCGGTAGACGATGTCCCCGCCCCGGCAGTTGCAGAACCTAATTTTAGTAGTAATAAAAGGCAAAAGAAATCAATGCCAAGATCGACCTGCTACAGGCAACTCAAAATGTTAAAAGAAGAAATGAAAAAAAAAAGATACAGACACAAAATAAGCCTTAGTCGACTGAATTTAAACTCCCAGAGCAAAACAGAAAGTCCCGGCTCAAACACAAGAAAGGTACTATCAGATATGGATTCATCATACATAACCAAATGTTTACGATTTTATTTCACTTTAACAGTTGATGAAATCATGATTAAAAAAATGAAAAGAAAACAATGCATTGCATTTTTTACTTCGAGATAAAATGATGAAGAAATACAAATTAAACAAATTTTATGGTGAATTCGGTATCAAAATGACAGGGGCAAAAAACATACAGAAACCTACAAGTCAGAACTGCAATTGAATTGTCAAGGTGCGTAAAAGAATTTCTAGAATGAGACGATAATAGTCGGTTGATTGCCGGCAAGAAGTCCACAGTTACAAAAAAGAAGGTCAAAATGCAGAAGAGATTTTTATCTGATACTCTGATTAATTTACAAAAGAAGTTTTTATCAGAGAATTCAAGTCGAAACATCTCCTATTCTCTGTTTTGTCGACTGAGGCCTTTCTACATTATTGCACCGAAAATATCAGATCGCGAAACTTGTCTGTGTATTGTACACAGCAACATGCAGTTGAAATTGGATGCACTGAAGCGTTCTGGGGCCAATTCTTCCAGTAAAAAAGATGATTTGATAAATGAAGTATGTTGCGATGCAGAAAAGAAAGACTGTATATACAGAAATTGTTCGACATGCCAAAATAGAAAGTTTTGTTCTTAACTTGATAGCAGTATTTCTGAAAGACGCCTAGATTGGAAAAGATGCGGGAATAGAACGGAGGAGAGAGAATCAAGAACAGGAGATAAAATTAAAGCAAATTTTACCGCCAAAATCTCAGAAAACACTTCGGTAGAGGTTCTTGTGGATGAAGTCAATCAAGATTTAGAAAGATTCTGTAGACACATTTTTAATATCTCTCACCAGTACTTAGAAATCAGACGTCTGAGAAATATAATAAATAACAATGTTTGTTTAGTCCATATTGATTTTTCTGAAAACTATGTATGCTGGCCTATTGTACATGCAAAACATAAATTAAAAGAAAATTGGCAATCCTTGGATGAGATTTGATGTGTAAATACTGGTACTGGAAATATATTGTTCAATACGGTGTGCGAAAAGATTCATCAATAGTAATAGTCACCGAAAATAAAATCTAATCTTAGTAGGTACCGGGTAATTGTTTTATAAGCCTACCTGATAAATGAAATTGTTACATGTTGTCTTTTTGTATCACACATTTTTGACAGATAAAATATTCCAGCTGGCGGGAAAAAAATATGAACATTTTTTTATATAAAAATTATTATCCATTTTAGCTGAAAATATTGAAAGCCATACTGCGAAGAATTACACTACACTGTTTAAATGAAATGAAATGAAATGGGGTTTAACGTCCTACTGTTCTGCTCCTATACTGGGCTAATGAAGACGGGCATACGCCATACAGTGTGCTATGAGGGAAATTTTGCCCGGGCAGCGGCACTATCGCCTACTCTTATATCGATTTTCCAACTGCCAGGGGATCTTTTACGTGCATTCCAATATATACACGGGACCTCGGTTTTTCGTCTCATCCAAAGGACTAGACAGCTGTCCTTGTCAGGCCCTCCGTCCTGCATCACTGACAAGCGGAAACCACGACTACATTGTTTAAATTCTAGAGCTGTTTCCCTAATGTATCACTGCCCACCTTAAATTTGTTTGTATTTTGGATTCAATTAATGCCATTTTGGATGTGTATGGGGTTTTGATCACAATTTGTCGGAAGGGAGGAGAGGAGGGCTACACCAAAAAACAAACATTTTTGCTGTAAAACTTTTAATTTACCTTTATATGCAATTTGTCTTCTGGGTCATCAGGATTTTGACTTAATAAAATATTTTCTAACTTTAAATCTCGATGTACTATGTCTGGAAAATACAATCAGAATTTTATTATAAACTAAATTAGAAAATGGGTATAAGGAGAAATGAAATGAAATGAAATGAAATGGGGTTTAACGTCCTGTTCCTATACTGGGCTAATGAAGATGAGCATACGCCATACAGTGTGCTATGAGGGAAACTTTGCCCGGACAGCGGCACTACGGCCTACTCTTATATCGAATTCCAACTGTCAAGGGATCTTTTACGTGCATGCCAATGTGTACACAGGACCTCGGTTTTTTGTCCCATCCGAACGACTAGACAGCTGTCCTTGTCAGGCCCTCCGTCCTACATCACTGACAAGGGGAAAACCACACCGGAAAATCTGGATGAACTTTCTCGGCCAATGCAGGGATCGAACACCCGACTCAAGGCTAGTGAGCCAGCGTCTTACCCACCGTGTTCCCCGGTATAAGGAGAAGCATAAAGAGAGGGGGAGCCACAGTGGCAGTTGGAATTCGACATAAGAGCAGGCCATAGTGCTGCTGCCCGGGCAAAATTTCCCCCATAGCACACTGTATGGCACATGCCCATCTTTCATTAGCCCAGTATAGGAGCAGAACAGTATTCATTTCATTTCATCATAAAGAGAGGTCTTTATACAAATAATCTCAAGAGTTTCTGAAATAGAAATGAATTGAAATGGGGTAATGAAGATGGGTATACACCATACAGTGTGCTATGAGGGAAATTTTGGTCAGACTGCCAAGGGATCTTTTATGTACATGCCAGGACCTTGTTTTTTTCACCATCCGAATGACTATACATTGTTCCCTGACAGGAGGAACCACGCCGGAAAATCCTGGTGGTTTTTCTTGGCCAACGCAGGTATTGAACACGGGACCTCCAGATTAACGAGCCAGCATCTTACTTACTCAGCCACCATGGCTCCCTACTGAAATAGCCATCCAAGCTTTCATGTGAACCCAACCATCTTTAGGGAGAGACACTTCTCATGCTGTCTTGGAGACTTTATATCACTGATTGAGAAAATTAACAGGATCATGACTGTATAAAAATACAATCTTTTTCTATATATGAGATAAAACTTACCATGCTTATGTAAATAAGAAATTGCACTGGCTAATTTTGTCATTATGATTTTAGTCTCTGATTCTTTAAATAAAGATTGCTTTAAGACATCATTTAATTCTCCTCCGTCACATATTTCGGTCACCAAATACATTTTCTGTAAAGAGATTCAAAAAATATAATTAACAAATTCTATTGGATTCAACTGTAATTTAAAGTTACTGATCGCAATCATGTACAAGTGGCACTGGCTTGTTTGTATCATCTGCAGAGGATGCTGAAGGTTGCAATATTTTAAATTTCATATCTTTGTACTGAATAAAATTTAAAGATTTTTGAACTGGTATTCCTTTTATAGATTCAACTCTCACAATATTGTAAAAGTGATTCAAGCAGATGAAATAGATTAGTTTATCTGTGTTGCTGCAATATTGGGATCATTCGAGAAACAACAACTTCCTAGGTGGATTAAGGATGCTTGCCCCCCCCCCCCCATTAATGAGATTTTACTCAAACCATCATCCAATAATCAATATGAATTACCTGGTTTGACTCAATGACTTCATTAAGCTGTATTATATTTGGATGTTTTACTCTTTTTAAAATAGCTACTTCTCGTTCTAATAACTTTAACCCATTGCTGCCAGCCTGTAATTAAAATTCATTTATTTTTAAAAAATAAATATCAGGTAAACTCTTTAAACTCTCAAATATATACAAACTATTATTTACTTTAATGTAAAGACTTTTGGGTCATTCCATGTCAAGTGGACCAAATTTCATAAAGTTGTGAACATAACCCCCTCCAAAACCAGCAGCTGCCAGGCAGGATTTGCCCACATTTTGCAAGAGATGGATAGAGAACAAGCTAAAAACAAACGTGATTTTTTGTACAATCAGGGGCAATAATCCAGAAAGTTATGGCCTGAAATGTTCAAATATCAAAAGGGACAGAGATCTTTCGGATATAAAGATATAAAGTTTCATCAAAATCAGATAAAAATTGTGACGTCTAGAGGGTCCACAACCTTCGTATTACACACTTCTACACAATTTGCGTACAAAGTGCGGCCATTTTGTTGGGCAGTTTCATTTCGTTTTTCCCGAAATACGAATTCAACCTTCATTACGGTGGAATGGTAATGTATTTAAACGTTTTTTAAAATCGGAAAAAAAATGTGACGTCTAGGGAATCCGCAAGCTAAAAATGCTATTTTTCGAACAATCAGGGGCCATAATCCAGGAGATTAAGTTTGGGTATCCGCGATTATCAAAAGGAACCAAGATCTTAGTGTGTAATGGTGATATATTCACGTTTTTTTTAAATCGGATAAAAATTGTGACCTCTACAGTGTTCGCAAGCTAAAAACGTGATTTTTCATACAATCAGGGGCCATAATCCATGAAGTTACAGTCCGATACATGCCAATATCGAAAGGAACCGAGATCTTAGGGTGATAAACCTATATTTCAAGTTTCATTGAAATCGGATAAAAATTGTGACCTGTAGAGTATTCATGTACAATAGTGGAAGGAAGGACGGGCAGACAGGGGCAACGACAATATACGTATACGTCCACATGAAAATGTGGGCGTATAAAAATTATATATGTTAATATATATATTAACTTATATATACTATATGGCCTTAAGCTAACTGAGATACAACCATTTGAAATTAGGGTACTGGAACGGATCATAAATTCAGTAATTTTTTCAGGTGTTCGGACATTTCTAATAGGAGTAGCACTCTCTGACTTTATTCTAAGACAACTTTTGTTATTTATAGATTACGAATTTAGCATCACACACATTGTGCAATTCACATTTTTCGTGCCACCAGGTGGCAAAATGTGGAACAAATGAACTAATTTTTTAGGATTTTCACAGCCTCTGGCAAAATGACCATGTTGTATACACAACGTCCATAATTGGCATAGTTACTGTCAGTTGGTCTTTTATCAATTTACAAAAGATGGGATATACTTTTCAAAATATTCAGTCTTAAAATTCAATGCACACTGAAAAAGTACAGAATATATCCATTTTCTCCTTCAATTTTGGCCATGTTGGACTGTTGTTAAAATTCTGAAAAAGGCTGAGAGAGAGAGAGAAATGGTAATTTCGGGACTAACATATGGTTCAATTTTATTTCCATAATTCGCTTGCGCGTAGGGGTCTTTAGCAGTGGGAGGAAACCGGAGGACCCGGAGAAAACCCACAAAGTTGGACAGGCGACCCTACTCCTTGTCACGTACAACCGGTGATTTGAAACCACGCCAGTTGACTCAATGACAGACTTTATGATACAGCACGCACGTGCTAACCATTCAGCCATCCAACCCCCCCGAAAAAGGTTGATAAAACTTCACTGACCCTACTATAACATACATGTACATTAATTTCCATCTTGTGTATTTGATGGCTTATATTTTTAATTGGCACTGGAAATCTGTGTGGTGATGAAGTTTCAATGGGAATGATCAAAATTGTTGACTTTATACATTGATTTTAACATTACTTTTAAATGACCTATACCCCTCAAATGTGTAACACTATTTAAAGTACCTTTTTGCGTAGATTATGAATATGCAATCATTGGATCTACATCATACTGTTCTAAATTTATTTTGCCTCCCAAATGAGAATACCCAACTCTCAGGGCAAGCCCCACACCCATTTTTCTTTGTATGTCTGTGTGTTTAGCCTACAGACTGCAATTCTTAATGGATCGTCTTGAAAACTTTCCATACATATTCCTTATACCCAAAGGGTGTTCCCTATTGTTTCTGGTGCATGCCCAACACCCACAGGCACAGCAACACCAAATGTTTGTGTTTATCATCTACAGGCTGCAATTCTGAATGGATCATCTTAGTACTTCCAAAGGATGGCAACTTCTGATTTTGGTGCATGCCCAACCCCTAGGGTTAGTGTCACATTCCAGGATGATCTATTCAGAATTGCAGCCCCTAGGCGATAAATATAACAAAAAAATAAGCGTTACTGTGCCCCTGGGGGTTGGGCATGCACAAAAAATAATAGTGGTCATCCTCTGGGTATATAAGGAATAAGTATGAAAAGTTTTCAAGATGATCAAAACACACAAGACACAGCAAAAAAAAAGGGGTGTGGTTCTACCCCTGGGGACTGGGCACGCACCAAAAACAATAGCGATCATTCTTAGGGTATAAAGAATAAGTATGCACAGCTTCAAGACAATCCGTTAAGAATTGTGGCTTGTTGGCGACAGACACATACCAAAATTGGGCATGGCTCTGCGACGATTACGACAATATACAACCACATTTCAATGTGGGCGTATAAAAAACTGAATAGTTCATTTGTTCCACATTTTGCCACCTGGTGACACGAAAAGTATTTATCGCACATTGAGGGCAATACTAAGAGCGTCATCTGTACATAAGAAATTGTCTTAGATTACTAAGAGAGTAGAACCTACTCATATAAGAAATGAGAGTTAAATGCACTTGGTATGGAATGACCCTTTTGTTATTATGTAATGAAGTTAGAATTGTTTGATTGAAAGACTTTTTGTTGTGAATGACCGTAAACTCTATATTTAAAAGGGCATTAGGTAATATTAGAAAAAGCGCTGACAGTTCTCGCCATTAAAGTTAAAAAATAGATAATGAAAACAGAATATACTGAAAATTTCAATCATTTTGCTTCACTCTGAACCAAGACATTAGCGATTCAATTATAGACTAACCTCGATCGTCATTACTAATGTTGCTACAAAAATAAACAAAATCTCGATTATCCACTTACGTTACATTATTATCCATCACAAAATGTATTCAAATCCAATAAATAATGCAGGATAATGATGGCATTGAGAGTTGATTATGGTCTGGATAATTTAATTAATATCTTATTAATAACTTAGATAACATTTCAGGCCTAAAGAAAGACCCGCAGATTTAGCTCTTGCATAATGCATGTTTAAAGGAAGTAAGTTGATAACTCCATATCATCCACAGTCTTTGACACTGCAAACACGACTTACTTGTCAGTTTAAGGTCAATTTAAATCAACATTGATGTTGTTATTTTACTGTAAAGAGATGGGCTTCTGATATCCAATATTTAAGACAAACATATCCCACAGGAGAATACTAACGATGTACACTGCCATTCAATTTGGACTCTTCGCATATTTCGCCAAACATAACTGATTAGAAATTACAGTAAAAACAGAAACAAATGAATGTATATCAGTTTTAACATTCATACGACATTATTAAATGCATTGTGACCCACTTGTGTCCATTTCTAGTAGCTAAAGAATAGAGATTTAGCTCCTTTAACCTTTATTCTGGGTTGGGTCTTTAATTAAAGATAGGTTTCCAGGCAACGAAACATACACCTACAGCAGCTAAATCATCTAGGCAGTCAACAAGAGTTGTCACATATTTTTACTTTCGTCAGTAATGAAACATTTATAATACACTAAAAATTGATCAAGAGTAACACCTCATTAAGTAGTTATCAGAAAATCATTAGAATTTGATTGGCCCATGCTAAAGTTAAGTACACAAAACTTTTAAAATCAATATACCTGTTCATCTCAAGACTTTAAACTCTGTGTATCAATATAAAGTCAATCGAAATGATTGTAGGCGTAAACACAGTGTATAAATATAAAATCTATCAGATGATAACTATGGCCTGTAAAGCACCCTTAAGATTTTTCAAAGTGATCAAAGGCTATAACTAAAAAGTATAACTCTAGCAGAAATTATTGGAAATCGTTGAAAATCAATAGACTTCTTCATCTCATGACCTTAAAAACACTATGTAGAAATTATTGGAAATCGTTGAAAATCAATAGACTTCTTCATCTCATGACCTTAAAAACACTATGCATAAGTCATTTTTTTTTTGTATAACTCTAGCAGAAATTATTGGAAATCGTTGAAAATCAATAGACTTCTTCATCTCATGACCTTAAAAACACTATGTAGAAATTATTGGAAATCGTTGAAAATCAATAGACTTCTTCATCTCATGACCTTAAAAACACTATGCATAAGTCATTTTTTTTTTGTGACGGCTTCCGGAAACTTTCGGAAATTTCCGAGTCCTTCCAATTTTTCCCGAACATGAATAGTTTTCTCCATTTTAAAAATAGACCAAAAATGACATATGGTAGTGTTAGCCCCAAATAATATCTTTCATTTTCAGAGACCTTGCTCAATAACATTTTCAACCGTTTGGCCGCCACTTTGATTCCGATTTTCGAAAACTTTTTTTTTTTAACTGGTTTCACTTTGAATTTTCTTTTGACTTTTCAACTTCTATCTGGTGACCTAACATTTTAATGACCCTTGACCTTTTCATATATGATGACCCTCATGTCTACTAACAATTAATATCAAAATGTTCTACTCTAAGTATAACTTCCAGTTTTATTAAGAGTTCAAAATGACAGGTTTTTCCACTTTAATAGGTATTGGATCTTACTATACTCAATAATGCATGGTGTAACTTGATTGTTGACGTGACAAGGCGTGACAAGGCGTGACCTGACGTACCGAAACAAGTCAGTACTCTTTGGAGTTCTAGTTTTCTTTGGTTCTGCACAATAATATTCTAGGGGGCGCTTGTAATTCTGCAGTCTGTAGTGCCTTAAGTTCCGTAAGAGATGGCCTAAAACCAATAAATGTGAGAAATATGTCATGGATAATTATATATTTACATTCTTTTCAAAGTTATTGTATTACAACTCAAAATTATCATGGGCTATGTATTGGTAAATTAATTTCGTCATGCAAATTGTGTGACCTGGCTATGTTTAGTTTTTAAAAAATAAGGTAAAACGGTTCTGTGTATATATATTACGGATCCACTAAAAATATATTTTAAGAGTAAATTATCAGTGTTATAACCTTGTGTATTCAGAAGTAAATGCCTGCCACTGGTGACAGCCGATGCACATTTATCCCAAAATTTATATGCTTTGTTTTTGACAGGATAATTTTGAAACTGTTGAGCTGAATGCTCTAACAGCACACTGCATGGCACATGCCTATCTTTATTTAATATTATTTTGATTGTGTCATTTAAGGCCATATCGAAGAAAAGGACAACACTAGAAGAAAAAGAAAATTTAGAAGACGGAATACAGAAATTTGAGGGATAATAGTAATATTGCAATTGTTTGGAGGGTTTTTTTTCAGAATGCATGTTAATATAAAGTCTTTGAAATAGTAGTGAGATTTCAGTAAAATTTCAGTGAGATTTCAGTAAAATTTCAGTGAGATTTCAGTAAAATTTCAGTGAGATTTCAGTAAATTTTTTAGTGAGATTTTACTGAAATTTCAGTGAAATCTCGCTGAAATTTCAGTGAAATCTCGCTGAAATTTCAGTGAAATCTCAATGAAATTTCAGTGAGAGATTTAGTCAAAATATTATTGAAATTTCAGTGAGATTTTACTGAAATTTCAGTGAGAAATTTGGTCAAAATTTTATTGAAATTTCACTGAGATCTCACTGAAATCTCACTGAAATTTCAGTAAAATCTCACTGAAATCTCAATAATATTTTGACCAAATCTCTCACTGAAATTTCAGTGAGATTTCACTGAAATTTCAGTGAAATTTCAGTGTGTATTTTCACAGGGGAGACAATGCAGCTCTTTATTTGTCTTAACCAAGTAAGAAATTCTGATAATAAAAAAAAGCTATTTAAATAGCCAAATGCGCACATTTCATTTATAAATTAATATAAGCCAATATATAATTTTTTGTGTACACCATGCTGACAATGGTGTAGACATGAGAATTCACGATACCCTACCATAAAAAAACCCATTAAATACGAATTTAATTTGCAAAGGTAGTTATTAACGGTGAAAATCAATAGGCTTCTTCATCTTATGACCATAAACACGATGTATAAATTTAAAGTTAATTGGATATTAACTTTAGTCTCTAGAGCGTCTATAAGATATTTCAAAGTGATCAAGGGCCATAACTCTGGTAAATCGTTGAAAATCAATAGGCTTCTTTATCTTATGACCTTAAACACTGTGTATAAATTTAAAGTCAATTGGATATTAACTTTAGCCTCTTGCTTGTGGACAACAGACGGACGTGGGCAACAACAATATACAGCGAGATTTCAATGTGGGCGTATAAAAACAATAAAATCACAAAGGAAATAATAATTGGTGAAGGAGAATTATGACTCTGTGATGTTAGAATAATTTTAATTTGGAATAGTGTCAAGACAGATTATTTTGTTTTTCCAGCATAACACCATTACAGTGTCAATAGAATCATCATATTTCATGCAACCGATTAGCTAAGAAAATCATAAATCAAAAACAATGCCATACCTTTTCCTTATTTACACTTTTTATAGCCCAGGCTTTACCAGTTGCTCTACTCATTGCACTGTAAACTTTACCAAAACTACCTTCTCCCAGTTTCCTACCAATCTCATATTTTTCTTTTAACCCATCATCTTCATTGATACGGGTGTGTGGTATGGATCTTTCCGCACTCCCCTTACGTGGCACATTGGTCATATTTAAACCTCGATCAGGCTGTCTTTATAATAACACATCTGAAATAACCAAAAATAAACATTAACGTTTATAACTCAATTTTTAATAGAGCAATAAATACAGAGCAAGCCAACAGTGAGGCTGATATTTCCCGCCAAATTGAACAAGAGCATCGGTACCACTGCAATATACTTCCACATTCCTGGGGATCGGGGCATGTCTTTACGGTATAAGGTATAAATATACAAAGTGTATTTATAAATATACAAAGTGTATTTATAAATATACAGAGTGTCCACAACCTTGATATATACCATATTTTTACACTATTTTTGCGTACTTGGGGCGTCCATTTTGTCTGGCAGTTTTGGTCTGATTTTCACAAAATTCGAGCTCAACCATCATTGCAGTGAAACGGTGATATATTCAAGCGTTTTTTAAAATCAGATAAAAATTGTGACCTCTAGAGGAACCACAAGCTAAAAACGTGATTTTCCGTACAATCAAGGGCCGTAATTCAGGCAGTTACGATCCGATATGTGCGAAAATCAAAATGAACCAAGACCTTTGGGTTATAAACATGTATTTCAAGTTTCATCAAAATTGGATCAAAATTGAGACCTTAAACCTTAAACCAGAGATTTACACTATTTGTATACGTGGGGTGGCCATTTTGTCTGGCAGTTTTTATCCGATTTTCACGAAATTCGAATTCAACCAACATTACGGTGTAACGGTGATTTATTTGAACTTTTTAAATCAGATAATAATTGTGACCTCTAAGAGGGATCACAAGCTAAAAACACGTTTTTGTGTACAATCAGGGGCCATAATCCATGAAGTTATTGTCTGATACATGTACATGCAGGGCAGTCGGTAATTTTTCACAGATGATTAGCAGTACTGCTAATCAAAAAGTCCAATTTTGCCAAATTTGATTAGCAAATTTAACCAGCGGCTGCCAGGCAGGATACGCCCACATATTCGAGGGATGGATAGAGAACAAGCTAAAAAGAAAGTGATTTTTCCTACAATCAAGGGTCATAATTCATGAAGTTACAATTTGATATGTGCAAATTTCGAAAGGAACCGAGATCTTTGGGTTATAAACATGCATTTCGAGTTTCATCAAAATCGGATTAAAATTGTGACCTCTACAGGGTCCACAACCTTGATAACCATATTTTTACACTATTCGCGTACAACAGCAGTCATTTTGTCCAACAGTTTTGGTCCAATTTTCACAAAATTTGAACTTAACCTTTATTATGGTGTAACAGTGATATATTTAAACGGTTTTTAAAATTGGATAATAACTGTGACCTTCAGAGGAACCACAAGCTAAAAAAGGCTATTTTTCGTATAATCAGGGGCCATAATTCAGGAAATTACGATCCGATATGAGCAAATATAGAACAGAACCAAGATATTTGAGTTATAAACATGTATTTCAAGTTTCATCAAAATCGGATTAAAATTGTAACCTCTAAAGGGTCCACAACCTTGATATACCATAGTTTTACACTATTCGCGTACAAGCAGCGGCCGTTTTGTTCGGCAATTTTGGTCTGATGTTCACAATATCCGAATTCAACCTTCATTACATTGTAACGGTGATATAATCAAACGTTTTTTTAAATCAGGTAATAATTGTGACTTCCAGAGGGACCACAAGCTAATAAAGGCGATTTTTCGTACAGTCAGGGGCCATAATTCAAGAAGTTACGACCTGATATGAGCAAATATCGAAAAAGAACCAAGATATTTGAGTTATAAACATGTATTTCAAGTTTCATCAAAATCGAATTAAAATTGTGACCTCTACAGGGTCCACAACCTTGATATACCATATTTTTACACTATTCGCGTACAAGCAGCAGCAATTTTGTCTGGCAATTTTGGTCCAATTTTCACGAAATTCGAACTCAACCTTCATTACGGTGTAACGGTGATATAATCAAATGTTTTTTTAAATCGGATAAAAATTGTGACCTCTGGAGAGATCACAAGCCAAAAACACGATTTTTCATACAAATAGGGGTCATAATTCAGGAAGTTACGATCCGATATGCATGAATATCGAAAGGAACCAAGATCTTTGGGTTATAAACATGCATTTCAAGTTTCATCAAAATTGTGATCTCTAGAGTGTCCACAAGCTAAAAACGTGATTTTTCGTACAATCAGGGACCATAATCCATGAAATTATGGTCTGATACATGCCAATATCAAAAGGAACCAAGATCTTTGGTTGGTAGACCTATATTTCAAGTTTCATCAAAATCAGATAAGAATTGTGACCTGTAGATTATCCACAAATAAATTGTGGATTGACCGACAGGGGCGACGACAATATACGTTCACATGAAAATGTGGGCGTATAAAAACACTAGCGTGAATCTTTAAGATATGACCATGAATTTCCAAGGCACTAGTTTGACTTGTAAGAAACATTTTACATGGGAGGATCGCCCTTTGATTGAAGGTAAAGAGTTAGATAAAACTAATTTTTCTTGAAAAGTCAAGTCGACATCTTGAAAAGTCAAGCTAATATCTTGTAATTTCAAGGTAATACCTTATTAATTCAAGTTAATACCTTGTAATTTCAAGTTAATATCTTAAAATAAAAACATTTGGAGTTCTAGTTTATTATTTTATCCTTATTATTTCAGAAAATAATTTTATATGTTACGCCAGGTAAAAATTTCGAAATTTCAGTCAGAAGAAATATAATGACTCGATGGCTTGATTTTTAATATTGTACGGATTGAAAACAGTTATTAAGGTTAGTTATGGCAGAAATAATAAATTATGTCTCCCACGTGACCATATATGATGTGTATGGTAGAAATCAGTTAACAGGGGACTTGATACACTCGCTGTCTAATAAACACTAACTGTGGATTTGATACATACAATCATATTTGTCCTTTTTCAGATCACACACACAAAGATATACCCTAACTGTAGAATACCGCCCAACGCGGAACACCTCAGATTGACCTTAAAATCAAATGGGATATTAAATCCAGGCTTCAGAACATCATTACAGTCTTGGATTTAGTTCAAAAAGTCCTCGGTTGAACCGAGGACGTCCTCGGTTGATACAGGTCCTCGATTAGAAGGTGTGTATTCAGATGTGTAACCTCAATATACTGTTTTATACACCATATATAAACCCACACATTCACACATACCCACACACACAGACAGGTGCGACGGCAATATAGATCCACATTATGAATGTGGACATATAAAAAGTAATTAGTTGACACACATTTTTTCATTAGAATCAAAGTTGTCAAGCTCCAACAATCAAATTGCTCCTCATCGAACTTAATCAAGGTATTGCCATGCAGCTGCAGGAGGCTTGTTACACAAGTACAGACCACACTGACACAACTCTACAGTTTCTGTAAAACAGAAACAATCAACAGCTGATCTATTCAAATTTAATAAAGATCCCATCAGGAATGTTAACAAATTTTGTAAACAAACATACTTTTTGCCTAGAGACAGATGTATGTAACAATAATATGAGTCCACAATACATTTGGTAGACATAATCTATTTTGTCCTTTATTGTAACTTGTAAGCATATTGTTCTCTCATATAACAACATTTATCATTGATCAATAAACAACACTGTTACAACAATAACACTGACCACCATTATTTGACCATAAATATAAACAACTTAAAGGACAATATTTCCATCCACAATTTCATAGATTACAAGGTTGAGCAAATCGTTAAGCAAAGATTTTTGGAAACCAAGAAATCAGAACATCCCTGTTCGGAATCTATCAGGTATGAATGGGTTCAATGCAATTGTGAAAAAAGCTCAGGAAGCATGAATACTTGTTCAGTTGTCAAGTATAAATAAAGTACATGTATGTAATTAAGTAAATAAATAACTAAGCCTAGATCAACGACATCAGTGGTAAGCAAGATGACTACTCATCACCATCCTGTGCCCTTGCACTTGTTTGGAACGTATAAAGAAAAAAAACTTCTTGCAATATGAATGGGACTAGCCAGAAGATTCATACTCTGATTACAGTAGCTCGGTAAGGCAGGGTCGCTACTCCCTGTAAGGTTTGCACAACAACCTTTGCCTACCTCAAACAGCTGCTGTATGTTAAACAATAAGCTTATACATCAGAAAATAAAATACTACAATATAGGTTGATATTTGTACAATGTTTCAAACAGATTTCTTGAACGGAGAATAAAATATGTTCCGGAAACAAAATCTGGACTGAAGGACGGTCATCAGAAAATAAAATAATATGTTGATGAATGTAAAAGTGTTATAAAGCTATCTTTAACAGTTTCTGAGATATGCTCTAGAATAATAATTGTATACATGTACAAGAAAACTATGTCGTAAACATACATTATGTAAGAGCTAAATCTGCCTATTGCAGGTCTTTCTTTAGGCCTGAAATGTTATCTAAATTATTAATTAGACATTAATTAACTTATTCAGACCATAATCAACTCTCAATGTCATCACTAGCCTGCAATGTTTATTGGAATAGGTTCCGATTTGCTGTTCAACTTCCATTCAGGATTGAATCATGAAAAGTATATGTTTTTTATCGTACCGACTTTAGTAATGATGATCGAGACTAGGCCGAAAACTCAATCGCTAAAATCAATTTGACTGAAATTGTCAGCAAATTTCCTTAGCATTAACTAGTTTTTAACTATTATTATAGTGAGAACTGACAGCTCTTTATCTAATCTCCCATAATGTATCTTTAACTGTGTAGTAAAAATTCAAAAATCATTTAACAGAAATTTTTTTTACATGGAAACACAAAAATTAATACATCCGAGAAAATTCTAATTAGCAAAAGACACAACTATTATCACAGGTTGATGTTTGTACAAAGTGTCATGAAAATATCTTGAATGGTTTATTAGATAGGCTCCAAAAACTTTAAGTCGAATTTATTTCCATGGAAACACAAAATATATAAATCCAAAAAATTCCTAAATAGCAAAAGGCACAACTAAATAGATTGATGTGTGTACACAAAAGTTTCAAAAA